CCTGAGCAAAGACCACAGGAGGAACATGCCACCACCTCTAAGTGTTCACACCAAGTCACGAACCTGAACCTAGTCACGTGTAAGGGTCTGTAGGCATGTTTACAGGGAATAGGAAAACATTAGCTGACACCCCAGGAAGCAACAGAAACAGACCCAGTGCAAATTGGACCCTGTGCAGATCTTGACGTGAGCAACCAGAGGAAGAGACTGAAACTTGGGCTGGATATGGAATGAAATTAAAAAATAACTTGATTTTTTAGGTTAAAATGGATTATAGTTATGTTACAATGGACAGAAAAATAACTTACTTGGTAGAGACAGATAATGAAAACACATGACATCTGGAATTTGCTTCAAATAATTGGGGGTGGTGGGTGCTAATGCACTATGATTGCCACGTATCCCACTGTGTAGCCAGACACAAAGTTTTGCTGAACTGTTCTAGTTCTGTGTATGTTAAAATTTCCTCCAATAAAACGTTAAAATAAAATAGGGGCAGAAGCAGCGTGTCCCATACCCCCATAAGCACACTGCTTTCTTCTGTGAAATAAGCTAGACAAAAAGGTCTTCAAGAGTACCTAACAGTCACATCCTTACTAGTAAAGGGATTACATTCATGAACTGGTACCACAACTGGAAAAAAACTCCCCAAATGCTCTAGGAGCACCAGACAATAGTCAACACAAGTAAAAAAAAAAAATGCTAAGCCAAGAACATAAATGACACACAGTTTCAAAATGCATATGGCTCTTCGTGCCACCAACAGATAAAATGGGACACACTCTTCAGCAGGAGGGTAGTATGTCAAGTGAGCACCACAAAAAGGGAAACAACAGAGTCTGAGACACACTGAGTGTGTCCGCAGGTCTCAGGGCAGTGCCTCAGGAGAAGGGGACAGGTGCCCACACTCATGGTGCTAACCCACCCAGGTACACTGTCTCTGGATCCCGATCTGCAAACCATAGCCGTGCTGTGTGACTGCAGGGCCTGCCACCCAGGTGGGTTCCAGCCCCTTGGACACATGGGGAAGAGTGCCCCCTCACACGGACACTCACAGAACCTGTCGGCACCCCACTGTCACATGCCTTTTACCAGAGCAACTGAACAATGAAGGTGCTGACAGTTTGGTGGCTTCTCCATTTCACAACCTCCATGCTTCCTCCCTGCAGTGAAGCAGCTTCCTGAAAGCTGGGAGACTCTCTGTGATGGCCCCTCAGGATGGCAACTCGAGAGGCTGGGGGACACTGAAGGGACACTAAAGGGGCTGAATGAACACTGAGAGAGTTGAATAGACACTGAAGGGACCTGAGTGGGCTAAGAGGACTAAGAGGGAAATGGGAACACTGAAGAAGCTGAAGGGATACTGAAGGAACAACGAAGGGGCTGAGGAGACACTAAGGGGACACTGAGAGTGCAGAAGGGGTGGTTCATGCTCTTTGAATGCAGTCCAAGCAAGAGGACACTGTGAGAAGACAACTGTGTGATGCCATCAGTAACCTGTGAGCCTCAGCTCTTAGCTGGGGTCTCACCATGTACTTCTCTAAGCTGCCTTAAGGGCATGACTTTCTGTGCAGAGTCCTGTGTCTTCTCCCTTTGAACCTGGGAAACTTACCAAGTGGCCTGATTCAGGGCAACTCAGAGTCCAAGGAGCAAATGTCAGCAAAAATGCCTATACCCAGACTTTTCAACCAAATAAAGGGGGAGGCGAATCTCATTTTTAGGCTTCCCTTTATTTATGCATTCTCCCCTAATACAGTTGTCCCTCACCACTCCATGGTTCGACTTTCGCGGCTTCACTCTGTCACGGTTTTTTGAAATATATTCATTAAAAAATTGACCGAGACAATGACAATGATACAGCGCATGCTCGGTTGTCTGAGTCAATTAGACACCCCTGTATTACAATTAAAATTAAAATTACTGTACATATAGACTGTAGGCCTATGTATTTGAGCACCCCAGGAATCCTTCAATGCCAGGTGAAAATGCTAGAGTCTGGAACGAATTAACCGTGATAAACGAGGGACAACTATACTCATTCTGGGAACTTTCATGTAAACAAACAGTGCAAGTACTAACTTAAGAAGTCAGTCACACATACACACAACTCAGAGCACTGACTGTTAACCTGGGAAACCTAGGCAAATGCCAGGGCCTGGTTTTATGAAGCCAGACATCAGCACACCCTTTTTTAAAACCCCGTAGAAATAGTACTTACAAAACCTTATAACCTTGATCAATTTGTATGTATTCACATGAAATAGCAATTATTTATGGGGCACTATGTACATATATTCTTATCCTCTCATGCCAAGAGAAAGACCAGAAGATACAGGAGACATGAGTATTTCAAATCTAAACACCAGGAAGGGCCTTGGGATGTCCAGCCAGTGTCCTCAGATGGACTCCAGGGGTTTCACAAGCCTACAAGGATGGTATGCAAAATTATATGGGTACACATGTGGATGTGTGCACACGTGGTAAAGACAGGGAGTCCCCCTGCTAGTCAAATGCCATCCAGCACAAATGCAAAGGAAACTGAGGATACAAGCCCCACAGTCAGTCATGAGGTCCCAGCCTCCAAACCCCTCCATGACAGCCACGTGCGTTTCAAGAAGAGTTTCCTTCTGCTTACTTTGTTAGATGCCATCATGACAACAACAGCATAATCTGACATAATGGCTATACATACATACAAACACACACACACAAATATTTTCTGACATACAAAATTTTAAAATCTAAAAAAGAACCAGTCTGTACCAATTCCTAAAAGCACCTGCCCTAAAAAATGTGTTCTGATGCACCCTAGGTCGCCTGCCCTGCACCATCCTCCTCCTTCCTTGCAGTGAGGGTACCTCCACCTCAGCTACTGCTGCCTCCTGCAAGTCCAGACCCAGCTGCCTCGTCATCCCCAGATGCCACAGCATCCCCATGCTACCCCAGTGCCACTGTCAATCTTGCTCTCACAGACCCTGTGAGCCATCAGGAAGCCTTCACAGTACCACCCCCCACCCCGAGCACTGCCCCTGTGCCCTCCCATCCCTACGTTTTCCAAGGGCCATGATCAACTCTTATCTAGACTAATAAGTCACCTTCACCCCTCTTCCATCCAGCCGCCAAATGGCTTTTGAACAGACCCATTTGCTTTGTTGCTGCATGCCAGATAAGGTCAGAGCCCTGCCCTGTAAGAACACCACCTTCTAGGTGCACCCAAGAGGGTCCTGACATCCTAATTCCCCACCCCAAACCCCAAGATCCTAACAAGGTTCAGCAACAACTATACCTCAGAAGGTTTGCAGAAGAGCAGGGCTGGCCCCTGCATCAAAGCACCTCTCTAAGAGCTCCCAGGGAGGCTTCATTCAGTCTGGGAACTGCTATGGGCCCAGGGACGCAACAACAAACAGCAGCGAACAGACAGGACAAGCACAGTCTGCCACACACACTCTGCTGGGAGACAGTGCTGTGGGGCCCAGAGGGGAAGAGCTGGGGGCCAAATCAGTCAGTCAGGGAAAGGCTCATTTAGAAAGTGACTTGATGAAAAGAAGAGAGAGCACAAATTTCCATGCAAGGAACAAGGACAGGTTCAGAGAAGAGTATACCTGGTATATCACAGAAAACAGCAAGGCAGCACATGGCCATGAGAATAAATAGAACAGGAGACAGGATCAGAGGGCACTTATGGTGTGAGTTTGTGGAGAGCCATGCCCCCAATCCGGAAAACAGGTCCTGGGGTTTTAAGATGTTTTATGGGGTACATAGGGCAGGGACCACTGTGCAGAGAAAAGACTATTAAGGGGCTGGTGCCAGGCTCCTTATATAGGCCCTGGATCCCCATTGCAGGTCCATGGCCTGCCCACTAAGCAACCCCACAGGATTCACCAAAGCTCTGATTGTCTACAAGCAGTTCGCACTCTGATGAGAAGCCCCAAGAAGCCTGGTACCCCGTGGGGCCAGAGTCTACCCTCTGTCCATCCCTGAATCTTCTTCTGCTCAAGAAGGGGCCACTCTGCATACTCAGAGCAGCTCACCGACACAGCCCTCTCCTGCAGTGCCTGCTGCTCTACCCACTGCCTCTGCATCTCAGCCACATGCATGTCACCAAGCTCCTACAGGGCTGCTTGGTGCTGCTGTTCCAGAAGCAGGACATCAGCGCGCACCTTGTCCAGGGCCATGCTCTTCTCCTCCAGCAGGCACCTCTGACTGATCAGGGCTGCAGTCAACTCCTCCTGTCAAGAGAGTCCACAGGGCACTGCACCCCACCCACCCCATATCAGCACCCACACCCTATAAATGAAGGCACATGTCCCACCCTGCATGGGGCTGTACCTGAAACAGTCTGCCCCTGGGGGCCTGACATGCTCACCTGGCCCACAAACTAGGCAGAGCAGCCCCATCTACTGTGAGGAGATGAAACCCACAGTGACTCTATACGTTTAGGCCAAATACACGTGTCCTATTCATGAGACACAGGTGTTGCAGTTGTGGAGATTACAAAGGTGGGCACCAGCCCAGGGCACCTGGGTCTTCTCCAGAAATTCCCTTTCATACTAAACTTAAAGTCACTGCTCTTGATACATGACAGAGGATTTAATTTTATGAAGCACCCACAAAGGAAAGCTGAGGCTACGTATGCACAACAGGAGAACCACGTTGAGGCCCTGGAATGCCAGGTTCACAGAGGGGGCCAGCGCAGCCACAAGGAGCACTGTAACCCGGTGAGGTCACATGCACACTTCCCCAGGGTCAGAGAGCCCAAGCCTCCCAAAGAGTCTGTCATCATGTGATCAAAGAAACCCTTAAAACTCACTGTTCTAGGCCTACCTCATGAGAAAACCAAAGTCACCATTAATAAGAATACTGTGAGACACGCAGACACAGGCTTGCACATCTACTGACACACTCACTATGGCACACACTATGGATACACAAGAGTGAAGTAAATCAAGCAGGAACTGGAAGAAACCTGTCCTGAGACAGGGAAAGGACCTGGTCCTCACCTGGTGAGCCCCCCGAAGCTCGGCAGCCAGAACCCTCAAACTCTCGGTGTGTTCAGTGCTTAGTTCAGCTCTCCGGCTTCCCTTTATGGACTCAAGCTCTTCATCATGTTTCCGCTGAAGTTTCTCTAACTCCTGAGTCAAAATCATTTGGTGAGAAGAGTCCTTTTTTTGCAGTTGTTCCTCAAGGTCCCCCCGCAACAGCTCCAGGGCCTGCCTGTGCTCATCCCTGAGGGTCTGAATTTCAGACAGATAACATGACTCCACAGAATCCAGGTGTGACAAATGCCTCATCTCCAGAGCACGGATTTCGGCAGCATGTTTCGCCTGCAGTTCAACTACACGAGCTTCTGAAAGAGTCCACTGTTCTCTCTGGAACACAGCCTTCAGCTCCTCAACATTGGCCTGGTGCTTGGCCTCAAGCTCCATTGTCAGGGACAGAATGTGCTGCTGGTGTCTCTCCTGGAGGAGCTGGAGCTCTCTGGCATGCTTCTCCTGAGCGTCCCGCAGGAGGGCATCTTGTTCTGCAGTGATTTTCTCTGTGATTTCTTTACGTTGTTCTAAAAACCTGAGATGACATGCAAAGTGAACAGACAGCAAAACATGCAGTCATAAAAGCAGCAACCTCTTCACATTTCCTGCAGGAAACACCACGTCTAACGACAAGGTCATCATTCATGGATCTAACTGTCCTTTCTCCTTCTCCCTCTGCCACAAATGGCCTGAGAGCACCACCACTAGGAGTAAGTCAAGTGAAGGGGCCTTTATAAAGCCAGAGGACCCAGAGGCCAGAGCCCAGGCATCCCTGGCACAGCCTGAAGTGGAGGATACAGGACCCATAACAAAGAGTCACATGCATACTCCCGACAGGCAGCACAAAGGAGCAGGCAGGACTGTTACCCACAAGAGAAGGATTTTGACAGGGAAGAGGCAGCAGGACCACTCATAGGAGCCCACAGGGCCGCAAAGAGCATTCAAAAGACCTCAGACCCTCTCTTCAGTTTTCAATTAAGAGATGTCACTTCAAGAGCCACAGGAGGTGCTGGCTGGCAAAAGCAGAGGCAGGAAGATACATTCTCATTAAAGTGCCCAGAATCTCATCAGGAATAGGAAGAAGTCTGGAACTTCTACCAGTGTAGGTTACATCAGTGATGCGACTTAATGAGTTCACAGAAACAACAAGAGCTATGACTGTTTTTATGTGCTGTCTACCAGATTCTGTAAAGCCGTTTCCATGGATTACCCCACTTAGTCTTTCCCTGAGAGCACTCAGTTTTCATGCCTATGTGGTGCGTCAGGATCGACCTCAAGCTCTCAGACCCTAGAGCAGAAGCTCTTGCACCTCACTCATGATGGTGGGGACCAGCTGATACATGAGAAGCAGCAGAACCAACATAATGTCCACTGACCCCAAAACTCATGAAAACCCCAGCCACGACAGGCCAGGTTTGCAGAGTCGGCACTAACAGAGGCAAAGAACCAAACTACATTATAAATCTATTTAAAACCTGGAGGTATACATATTTTATTTATTTTTTTATTTTTTTATCCTCACCTGAGGACAATTTTTCATTTTTTGTTCAGATAGAGTGGAAGGGAGAGAGGAAGAGAGAGAGAGAGAAACAGTCGACATGAAAGGGACATAATGAGTGGATGCCTCCCGCACGACCCAACCAGGGCCAGGGACAAACTGCAATCGAGATACGTGCCCTCAGCAGGAACCGAACCCAGGTCTCTCTGGATCGCAGGCCAACACTCTAACCACTGAACCAAACCGGCCAGGGCGGTATATGTATTTTAGTAAAAATATATTTTAAATATCTATTTAAAAAACACAGAAAACTTATGTGGATGAACTACATTTCTTTATAACAAATGAGGTCTAAAGCTGTGCTAATGAAATTTTAAAATGTGCAAACAGAACAAAAATGATGTGAAAGAAGCATGCACAGTAGCACCCATCAGACTGCACAAGAAGTATCTGAACGTTGTTTCTGTCAGCACGTCTTGTTTACAGAGCTACATGTCCTGTTCTCATTTTAGGGTAAAGACCAAGTGTCCAGGACTCAGGAAGTCACCGAGAGCCCACAACACGTCTTCCCAGAAAATCTGCCTCCCACCCTCAGGCAGGTATCCTGGATCAGGTCTCAAATGGGAACCTGGCAGATGGCTCCATACTAACAAAATGCTACAAGAATGTCACCCACCTGTTCTGGGCCAGCATCTGCTGGAGGGCACAGTCTTCCTTCAGATGGACCGTACGAAGCTCCTGGTCTCGGTCCCGGTCCACAGGGGCCAGACCACTGCTTGGTTCCTGGCTGCACTGCAGAGACTCATCCCCAGCAAGGCCAAGCTCCAGTTGCCACAGGCGGCCCTGCTGCTCCATCAGGGACCCCTCCAGGTCCAGGATCTGGGCTGCCTGCTGATCCTGCAGTTGCTTCATTTCCATTTCTCGAAGCTCAAACTTGTTTATTATTGATTGTTTCTCCAATTCAGTCTGTTCTCTCAGGTCAAGGAGCATCAGAGTTAACTTCTCTTCAGCTTCTCTCTTTAAGGCTTCACCTATACCTTTCCACTCGGCTTCTCTTTCTTTGAGTTCTTGTTTAATTAGCTGAATCTGCTCCTTAGCTTTCCTCAATTCTTCCTGGTGATCTTCAACTAAATTATGTTTTACCTGTAGATAATTTTATTTAAGAGGGAAGAAATTAAAAGAAAATATTACTAATAGCAAAAATCCAAATCCATCTCTGAAGACAGAGAAGCTTCCACAACTTGTAGGCATTATGCTTCTTGTGCTGACGGGAACAGTTTATAAACCTGAAATAGAATAAACCTAAAAACACCTTTTGCTTAAGTAAAAGATGCCCACATCCTGGCACATGGAACCAATAGCTCCTTATGTCTGGAGTCTATAAGACTGGACAAAAACTAACTGAAATGAACACTAAGACAAGGTGGAGGTTTTCTCTGCAGTGCCAAGATCAGCAATAGGGGGAAAATCTGACATGTCACGGGTCTTCTGTCGAGGAAAAGGTCAAGTGGACACCCAACAGAGCAGAACCACCACCAGCAAGAAGATTAAAAGTCTGAGGGAGATGAGAGCGGCAGACAGTATCCTGTGTTCTATGGTCTCTGGACTTGCACAATTTATATTCCAGGATATACAGAAACCTGAGCAAGAGGCTGAAGAGTTAAAACTAATACTTTTAGCCCTGGCCAGTTTGGCTCAGCGGTTGGAGCGTAAGCCTGTAGTCCAGAGAGACCCGTGTTCGGTTCCCACTGAGGGCATGTACCTCGGTTGCAGTTTGTCCCCGGCACTGGTTGGGTTGTGCAGGTGGCAGCCACTTGATGTGTCCCTTTCACATCGATGTTTCTCTCTCTCCCTCCCTCCCTCCCACTCTGTCTGAACAAAAAAATGGAAAAATGTCCTCGGGTGAGGATTAAATAAATAAATAACTGATACTTTTATTTTTTTTATCCTCACCCAAAACATTTTTGCATTTATCTTCAGACAGAGTGGGGGGGGGGGGGGAGAGAGAAAGAGAAACATCGATGTGAGAGAGACACATCAACTGGTTGCCACCCACATGACCCCAACCGGGGCTGGGGACAAACTGCAAGTGAGGTAGTGCCCTTAGTGGGAACTGAACTCGACACTCCGGTCCGTGGGCCGACGCTCTAACCTCTGAGCCAAACCGGCCAGGGGAAAACTACAGTAATACTTTTAAAGGTGTCTTGTGAAATGGAAGGTAAATCAGAAAGCTAAAGGAAGGCAAATATGCTGGTTTGCAAAAAAAAAAAAAGAAACAAAGAAAGTAGGTCAACAAACTACTGAGCATAATCAAAAGAAACTAAAAAAAAAAAAAAAACAGGTATATAAGACTAACCTCAACTCAACTACTTAAGTTATTAAAAATAAAGTTTAGGGCCCTGTTTCTGAGGATGGCAGAGAAGTTCTAATGAGACCAACATTCCCAGAGATAACAACTATAAGCTCTGGATAAAATATAAAAAACTACCTGAAGGCCCAGAGAGCATCCAAAAGAAATGGCACTAGGTGATTTACCGTCTGTGCTATGCTCACAGGAATTCCATGATCTTACTTGTTTAAACAGAGGGTCTGGAAAGTGCATTAGGAGAGAGCCAGAAAGGGAGAGCTGCAAAATCTGAAATAAACCAAACCCTAAACTCAGGCTCATGCCTGACCCACAAGTGTGTGGGCAAACTGGAAAAGACTAAATGAACTGGAAAGCATACTTTAGTCCACCACAAAGAAGGTGGAGTGTGGAGTTTGAATCTAGCCAGGTTAACTTCCTACTGAAACATAAAATCATTACTCTTCAGAGGAACAAACAAAACTCAAGAGTCTCCACAATGTCCAGGATCCAATCCAAAAATAGTTAATATACAAAATAAAAAGGAAATATGACCCATGCTAAGGAGAAAATACAGTCAATGGAGAATAACTCCAAGATAACACAAATATTTAAATTAGAAAACAAAGGTTTTAAAGTAGCTATCTTAACTGCATTTATGAACATAAAGGAAAATGTGGTCATAATGAATAAAATAGGAAATTGTGGGAAATAAAAGAGAAACCAAGGTGCTAACTTAAAGATCAACAGAATTTAACCAATAAAAAGGGGGAAAGATTAGAAAAAAGAACAGAAACAGACCTCAGGAACCAAAATGATATAACATCTATGTTAATGGAATTACAAAAGGAAAAAAAAGAATGAGGCAGAAATAAAAACTGAAGAAAATACTTGATGACAATTTCCCAAATTTGGTGAAAGACATAAACGTACAGAATGTCCTATTATCAAAAGACCACTAGTTCAATAACACAATCATTAAATAAGAAAAGATGAGGTCAATCTAGTATGTGTTTTGGGGTTTTTTTAAGTCTCTGCTGTGACTTTAAAAAATTTTTTTTATAATTGATTTTAGAGAGAAGCAAAGAGAAAGAGAAACATCAATGTGAGAAAGAAACATCAATCAGTTGCCTCCTGCACACACTCTGACCAGGGATCGAACCTGTAACATGGGTATGTACCCGAACCAGAAATGGAACCCGTCACCTTTTAGTGTTTGGGACGATGCTCCAACCAACTGAGCCACACCAATCAGGGATAGTACGCATTTTTTTTTGTTTTGTTTTGTTTTTTATCCTCACCCGAGGACATTTTTCGATATTTTGTTCAGATAGAGCGGGAGGGAGAGAGAGAGAGAGAGAAACATTGACGTGAAAGGGACACATCAAGTAGTTGCTACCTGCATGACCCAACCAGGGCCGGGGACAAACTGCAACCGAGGTACATGCCCTTAGCGGGAATCAAACCTGGGTCTCTCCGGACCGCAGGCCAACGCTCTAACCGCTGAGCCAAACCGGCCAGGGCAGTATATGTTTTTTTAAGGTAACTATTTTTCTCAGAATCCCTGCTGTTTCCTTTTCTCAACTATTTATTATCAATTTCATTTACTAATTTTTATACTGTCATAAGAAAAAAAATGTCAAATGTAATCAAGCCTATGCATTCATAATAAAACGAGCGTGAAACATAAAGAGAAAAATCTTTGAAGGAGCTAAAAGAAAATGACATGTGACATTCAGTGGAATACTGATTTGAACGACTGACTTGTCATCAGAAACGAGGTCGGATGGAACAACATCTTCAAATTCTGAACAAAAACCAGATACCCCAGACTTCTATATACACCAAAAATATTCTTTAAGAATGAAGATGAGCCCTGGCTGGTTTGGCTCAGCGGTTAGAGCGTCAGCCTGCGGTCCCAAGAGACCCGGGTTCGGTTCCCGCTAAGGGCATGTACCTCGGTTGCAGTGTGTCCCCGACCCTGGTTGGGTTGTGCGGGTGGCAACTACTCGATGTGTCCCTTTCACGTCGATGTTTCTCTCTCTCTCTCTCCCTCCCACTCTATCTGAACAAAGTATCAAAAAAAAAAAAAAAAGAATGAAGATGAAATTAAGACTTTTCAGTTAAGAGAAAATATGTGCAGCCCAGTTGGTGTGGCTCAGTGGTTGAGTATCAACTCATGCGCCAAGAGGTCGCTGGTTCTATTCCCAGTCAGGGCACATGCCCAGGTTGTGGGCCAGATCCCCAGTGGGGGGCATGAAGGAGGCTGCCAATTGATGTTCTTTCTCATCAATGTTTCTATCTCTCTCTCCCTCCCCTTCCTCTCTCTCCTAATATCAATAAAGAAAAAAACTAAAAATAAAAAAAAAGAGAGAGAGAAAATATGTGCAGATCTGTACAAGAAATGCTAGTGGGATTCTTCATGCTGAAGGGATCAAACCAGCTGTAACCTCAGATCTTTGGGGAGGAATGAAGAGCACTATAAATGGTAAATATAAGACTATTTTCCCTTAATTACTCTCAAGTACATATGACTGTTAAAAGCAAAACATACTGCAGAATTTAAAACACAGGAAGATTTAATATATATGAAAAGTATAAATGACTCAGAGGAAATGTTAAATGCACCTTATAAGCTTATACATTATAAGCTCTTATATTGTATGTGAAGCGGACTAATGTTAACACTAAGAAGACTGAGGTGTTAACAAATGTCTATTCTAATTCCTAGGGTAACCATTAAAACATAATACAAGAGATGCAACTCAAGACATCGACAGAACATTAAAATCAATTCTAATGAGTATTAAAAAAAATCCAGAAGGCAAAAGAATAAACAGAGAAACAACAACAAAAAACAGACAAAATAAAAGCAGATGGACCCTATAGAAATTAATAGTAAAGTGGAAGCTCTCAGTCCAACCATATCAATAACATGAAAAGGTAACATACTATGCACTCCAATTAAAAGACAGAGTTTGTCAGAATGGATTTTATAAATACCTAACCATATGGTGTCCATATGTGTAATATAATAAAAAGTAAGTATGTGCTCTTTTCCCTCAACTACTGACATAGCTGCTAAAACCCTTGGCATCTTGTGCAGTGCTAAGAGGGTCTTATATGTCATGAGAGGAATGGTGGCTGGGATCCCTGCATGGCTTCAGGATGGGGACTGGTACCCAGAAAGACCACAGTGTGATTAGAGGGCTGGAACTTTTAGCCCCACTCTGACCTACATGGAGGGAAGACAGCTGGAGACTGAGTTCAATCACCGAAGGTCAGAAATTGAATCAATCATGCCTTCATAATGAAAGGTGCACAACAACCCCTAAACAAAGGAGTTGGGAGAGTCTCCGGGCTGGTGAACACATAGCTCTATCCTTGCCTCTATTTTGCTCCACGTCCTCACCAATGCCTTAGTTTGGAGAGAACAACATGTTATCAAACTTGCAGGTACTAATAGCTTCCTGTGAAATCCTGTTTGGGTGGAGAATGAAAATCCAAAAAGGCCTTCACAGAGAAGAACCTGGGGTGACAGCATAGGACCAGAATGACAGAGTGGAAAAAATATGCTCAAGTCAAACACAAGTAGGAAAGACATAAAAGTTCCAGTCACCTTAATTATAATAATCCTACAAGATGATAAAACTTCGCTGCTGTACAATGAGGCCCATCAGTAATTCAGTGGGTCTACGTTTATGTGTTTGTTAGCATACACAGTGGTGCAGCAGCAAACTCATCACTCAGGGTCCAAGCACTGCAAAGCTGCGTGGCTGACAAAAGGAAGAGTCTAGGAGTTTGGGACAACACTGGAGGCACTGGGGGGACAAGGCTTGAAGGTGGTCATGGCTCAAGCCCCTTCCTGCATCTTCTGAAGACATCTAGCCGCTCCCCCAGCCCCGAAGGCCGGTAGAAGGAGCAACAGGAAGCAAAGCTCTGGCCTCAGCAGGGAAGCAGGCTCACTCCAACTGAGGGAAACACTGACCAAACCCACTCCTGGCCATGCTTACATGCTGACTGACATCCTACCTATCCTCTGGCCCAGGCCACTGCTCCAAGATCGCAGTGAAAGTGGCAGTAGTGCCTCGCCACAAGGACTCACAACTCACTTTCTCCAAGTCCTCTTTCAGGCAGAGTTCCCGTTGCAGCTTTTCATGTAAATTTCGGTTTTCTATTTCCAAAAGATTGATTTCTTCCTGGAGCTCCTTCTGAAGCAGTGAGAGTTTAACCTTGTGCTTGATTTCCAAACCCAAGACTATTGTTGCCACTTTGGTCTCCACCTCCACGGTTGGGTCCTGCATACCTGAAGACGTATGTGAGCAACAGTGCCCACCCACAGAGCTACAGGTGGGATGATAGTCTGGCAGTAATGAGGGAAGGACAGTAAACTCTCCTAGCCATCCTGCTCCAATTTAATCCCTTAAATCCAATCATATTTGTTGTAAACAAACACACAAACAGACCACAACGCAATGTAAAGCACCAAAGCAATTCATCCACAAAATACAAAGCAAGCCCTCCTGTAAGTGACGTGTGAAAAGGACAAAATTCAGATTTTATAACCCAACAGATCACTTCTCAATTAACGATTATTAAAATACAACTCTTCTCGATTAAAAACTGGCATACAATTCAACAACAACAAAAAAAAATTCAATTAAAAAATGGGCAGAGGACCTGAATAAACACTTCTCCAAAGAGGACATAAAGATGGCCAACAGACATGAGAAGACATGTCTTGAATCATCAGAGATATGTAAATTAAAACCACCCTCATGCACTGTTGGTGGGAATGCAGACTGGCACAGCCACTATTGAAAAGAGTATGGAGTTTCCTCAAAAAATTAAAAATGCAACTACCTTATGACCCAGAAATTCAATTTCTGGGTGTTTATCCAAAGAAAATCAAAACACTAATTTGAAAAGATATATGCACCCCTATGTTCATTACAGCTTTTTTTTTCACTGTAACCAAGATATGGAAGCAACCCAAGTTGCCAACGATAGATGTATGGATAAAGAAAAAGTGATATATATGTGTGCATATATATATATATATATATATATATATGTAAATATTATTCAACCATAAAAAAGAATAAAATCTTGCTATTTGTGACAGCTTGGATAGATCTGGAGGCTATTATGGTAAGTAAAATAAGTCACGGAGACAATTAAGATATGATTTCCCTTATAGGTAGAATCTGAAGACAAACAAAAAACATAACTGAGCTCATGGATACAGAGAACACACTGGTGACTGCCAGACAGGATGGGAGAAGTGGATGAAGTGGGTCAAAAGGTACAAAATTCCAATTATAAGAAAGTCCTGGGATGTAACATACAGCATGGTGACTTGTGGGGAAAGTTGCTGAGAGTAGATCTAAACAGTTCCATCGCAAGAAAAAAAAATTTGTAACTGTGTGGTGATGCTAACTAGACTTACTGTGGTGATCATTTCATAATATGGACAAATATCAAACCATTATGTTTATTGTCCACCTTAGACAAATTACGTGTCAATTATATGTCAATAAAGCAAAACTGGCCTCTTACCTCATTCTGCTCCAGTTGGAAGCTGAGCTGATCAAGGTCTCTTCTTTCTTTTTCAGAAGTTTCTTCTAAAACCACACTGGATGAACTAAGAGAGAATATACATCCTGAAAACCTTACATATGGCACTTTCACATCTGAATTCTGCTCTGTTCCTGGAATCTGACCACATGCAAGAAAACTCTTCCTGCTCCTTCCATCACAATCCTACTTGCATCAAGGATAGGACACCTATTTGGGTAACGGTGACCACAGTTGGTGATGCAGTGGAGAGGACCCTGGAGCAACACAGATCCTGACTGCCTGCGCCCACCTCCACTGGCCGCACATCATCCGCAGCCTGTCATGCAAGTCGGACTCAGCTCCTAGCTTTAATGTTCTCTTGTTTTGAGTCCCAAACATAAAAATGTATTTCTAGAATATCAGGTTATCTGTCTCCATTGGCATGAAGTCACAGGCAAAACAAGACTTCAGGGGTGGTGAACCCAATACAATCTACAGTTGACTTACATGGAATTGTACACCTGAAACCTATATAATTTTATTAATCAATGTCACCCCAATAAATTCTGTTTAAAAAGTAGAAAATTAGAGCCCTGGCCAGTTTGGCTGAGCAGTTAGAGCGCTGGCCTGCAGACCGTAAAGTTCCGGGTTCGGTTCCTGCCAAGGGGCACGTACCTCGGTTGCAGTTTGTCCCCGGCCACAGTTAGGGACATATGAGTGGCAGCCAGTCGATGTGTCTCTCACACTGATGTTTCTCTCTCTCTCTTCCTCCCTCTCTCCCTCCCGCTCTATCTGAAGATAAGTGCAAAAATGTCCCTGGGTGAGGATTAAAAAAAAAAAAGGTGGAAAATAAGAACTTTTAAAAAACTAGCTTAAATGTATAGGGAAGGGATCAAAGAATAAAGGAAAGTACAACTGTTGAAATATTAAAACTGTATTGTCAGAGAGACAAATTCTTGAGCCTTTTCCTTGGGAAAGGCAATGTCTCTGAAATCAGGGCTGCTATAATCAACTTTTATTATACATATATACCTATATTTTGGTGTCGAGGATAAACTGAAAAAAAAAACACATAAAACTAGATTTCAGTTCAACTTAAGGTTCCATATTTCAATTCCATAGTCAAAATAAAAAATGCTTTATTCACCTGATCTCCGCAGACTCCAGAAGAGAGTCTTCCCTCACCTCCTGCAGTCGCTGCTGTAACAGAGTCAGATCTTCCTGGTAATTTTTTTCAGCATCCTGCAATTTCTTTTCAAAGTAAAGTCTCAACTGCTCCAGTTCAGACTCATGCTCAGTTTTCTCCCGTTGCTGCTGCTGCTCAAAATCTTGCTGTAGGTGTTCTAATTCTTCCATGTGAGCCGCTTGCACCAGGAGCTGCTCACGTAAGTCTTTAAATAGGATAAAATTACACAATCACCTTAAACAGAAACACTTAGGAAAAACTGGGAGATACTGAAGGTCCTGGAGCGTGGTTGAGGGGGCCAAATTCTAAAGGCCCCAATCCCAGAACCTGTGACTGCTTCTAATGCGACATGACACAGGAGGGCCTCCACAGGGAGATGATCAGCCGCCTCAGCGTTCTCAGGCTGGAGGGAGAAGCCAAAGAGACTGAACATGTGAGAACTACCCCATGTGCTGCTGGGCTCTGAAGATGGAGAGGCCATGGGGGAAGGAATACAGGCAGCCTCTGGTAGCTGACAGCGGTCAGCTGACAGCCAGCAACAACACAGGACCTGTCCTACAACCACAGGGACTGGATTCTGCCATACCCGAGTGAACCACGTTGAGGGATAGACCAGCAACTCAATTTCAGCTGTGGGAGATCCTGGGCAGAAAGCCCAGCCATGCCATCTGAGACCTCTGACCCACAAATCTTCAAGCTAATGACTATGTGTAGTTTTAGGCCAACAAGTCTGTGATACTTTGTTAATGGCAACAATAATGCAGAACAGAAGAGAACTTGTCACCATTGTTGTTTCGATACAGAGAAGGCTGCCAGCTGGTTGATAATAATAACCAACCTTCAAATAACATGACATAAATAATTCACTATCCCAGAGATTTCCAATCAGAGTTCCCTGTGAGGGTCCTTTACACGCAGGGGTAAAGATTTCCAACAAACATGCTAGAGTTGGAACACATGTGTGAAAGCATGCATGAAATCATGTATAGGTAAGTCCACCAGTGCCACCTGTGGCCTCCATCAGTGACACACAGACTCAAAGGAAAGACTGAGTGATGGGCTGACAAAGCGAAGCGTAGCAGAAACCTGAACTTATTCACCACCATGCAGCAGACAGGCTGTTTCTGATCCCTTCTCCTAACTCTGGTCTTTGGTCCCAATAATGCTCACCTAGTAAGGGCAATCACTAGGTTTACAAGACTGTCTGGAGATTAGCAGCAGAAAAGCACATGTCCATGTTCCCCCCTCTCCTCCCTCACCATGCCTCCTGACCTTCCCTGGTTGAAGGTGTCACCAGGGAGCAGAGGCTGCTTTGACACAGTCCTGTGAGGGGACCCAGGAGAGCTGCCCTCAGTAAATGTGGCCAGAGTTTTGGGACCTTGAGACTCAGAAGTCACCCCCCTACAACATCAAAGGTTGGGACAATGGGAGTCTACCCCAGGTGAGCTCATAGGATCCATATGGAAGGTACACCCGCGACTCCAGGTGCCAGCTGGGAACCGAGTTTCTAGAGTGCTCAGCAGCTTCTAGGCAGAAGCATGCACACTCAGCAGGTGCCTGACATCGACACAAGCAAACATGATCCCTCAGCTGTTAGTCAGCTTTCTTACCATGAAACCAAGGCTTCCCACCAACAAGCAAACTCCACTTCAAACCACATGCACCCATCTTCAGGAAGTACACAAATCACTCTTGGCGCTCTCTATAACTGCTACATCTTCATTTGGGGTTCCAACAATTAAAAACACACAGCTTCAGCTTTTGAGGCTCTGAATCCTCAACATGAAACTCCTCACCACTCAGCTCCTGTCTGTCGGTCCTCGTGGACTCAAGCTGGGACCACAGGCGCCTGACTTCCTCTTGTGACTGAGCCTTCAGCTCTTCGTAAGATGCTTGAAGGTTCTCCAACTAGAAAAGGAATGTAACAGTGAGACACTGACCGAGACCAAACCCTGCGACTGACTGGGAGAGCATGTGGAGTAAAAGCTCAAATCTCAAACATCCAGCCTAGAGAACACCAGCAACAGCGGCACCAGAGAAACTACCACTCGTCGTGTTTCAAGCTTTTGTTTCCTATCAGCACCTGGTATTTCTCACAGATCACCTGCTCAGGCCCTTGGCCCTGTTCCCTGCAGAGACCACTTCTTCTCACTGACCAAGGACAAAACCTTTTTCTGCTGTCCCTCTAAGTAGTCAGGGGAGGGTCAATGGAGCAGGCCCCTTGAGGTGGGAGCACTGGCTCCCTCCCAGGTTGCCAGTTGGCATTGTCTGCATGACTCAGTCTTTCAAAAAGTCCCCCAGTTGTTAACTTTAACATGTTCTGCCCCACAGGTCTTTCCTTCTCATCTACGGTCATAGACCTCCCTCATCCCTTGATGTGTTTGGGTTTTCTCTGCACTTCTTGGTCAACCTTCCTAGAAAGTGGTTTTCTTTAAGGGGTGAACAAAGCTAGCACACTGAACTCATGCTTCCTGCCAGACAACCTGAGAGAGAGAAAGAACGGACTGAGCTGAGAGGAGCTCCAACCCGCCTTCCCACACAAGGGCACAGGGTCAGTATGTCAGTCAGCCTGAGAGAGGGCAGCGATGGCCCTGAGGCCCCTATAGCCTTTTCTCATCCAGGGCACAGAACAGAAGGTGGCCTCCTATCATATCTTTCTCATCAGGGAAGTGATGTGTGCACCAGTCTGGCCCTAGCTCTGCCGGGCCATCACAGCCTCACTCTGGAGAAGGCACAGTTGGGAGTGGATGCAAGCACTGCAGAGGCCAGAGAGACAGGCTCCTCCTGGGCTCGACTCCTTCCCCTCCTCATCTGTAAGCCCACACACAGACCATGCCTGACTCCATATGGCTTACTTCCTTTTTAATTTCTTGAACCAGTGCTTAGGGTTCTTGGGTATGGTAACAAAAGCACTTCAGGTCTCAGTAGATCTGGTCACATCGCCCCCATCCTGATATGCAGTGTTTCATTGGAAAAAAGTTTTAAACACATAAGCAGCAAGAATGTTTCTGCTTAACTTTTCTTAGAAGATTCTTTATTGAATTATGGTCAGAGTATGTGGCCCTCCACCCCTATTACCTGGAGTCTGTAAACGTCTCGGGGGCACTTGTAAGAATACAAATTCTCTGTATCTAAGATTGAACATACCTGTTAAATCAATCTTACAGACTCTGTACACTCACTTCATCCACCAGCTCCAGCAAATACTGCACCTTAAATTACTACTTAAATTTTAGCAAGTAATAGAATGTGAAATGACCTCAACCTAAAACCTTCAAAATAATTAAAGTAAGTAGTTAAACGCCCACCTCCAGTTGTTTCTCTCTTTCCTTCTCGCTGAATCTCAGGTCCAGGTCCTCCGTGTGCCGGCAGCGCTCAGACTGCAGGTCTTCCTGGAGTTTCTTCACAGCAGCATCATGTTGAGCCTGCAGAGTCTGGAGGGACACTGAAGAGCACAGAGTGCTCAGTTTACAACAGCACAGTCTTATTCCTCAGCAGTACCATTAATCAGCAATCTCAGTAGTAATGACAGCACTAAGAGGGCCACTTCCCACTCAAGGCCCCCAGGTTCCTTTCTGGCCCATTCTTAGCATCCCTGCTCTCCTCAGGAGGAAGGGAGGGATACAGCTCAGCCAACCAGCAGATAGCCGCTCTGACAAATGAGTGTTGAAGTAATGGGCAACCCACATAAACAGTGAACAATTCCGCCCTGGCTGGTTTGGCTCAGTGGTTAGAGCGTCGGCCCGTGAACCAGAGTCCCGGGTTCGGTTCCCACTAGGGGCATGTATCTCGGTTGCAGTTTGTCCCCGGCGCCAGCTGGGGTCGTATGGGTGGCAACCAGTCGATGTGTCTCTCTCACATCAATGTTTCTCTCTCTTTCTTCCCCCCTCTCTCCCTCCTGCTCTATCTGAAGATAAATGCAAAAAAAAAAAGTGAACAATTCCAATATTACTGTTTTTGTAGCAATTTAATAACAAAACATACAAAAAGTATATCTGAAATTCAAGTTTCAGGAAGAGTTTAAGGAACTTGTGGTCAACAAGTGGAAAACCCATGGCTGACTCTATCCTATGGCAGCCCTGTACCTGTCAGACGGGGGTGTCACATGCACTGTTATCTGGCATTTGAACACAAGCCACAAATCTGGCAAGTCACAGGGTGTTTATTCCAGAATTACATAGAAAAATTTAGTCCCCCTTTCAGACCTGCTTATTTTAGATACTCACATTCTGCCTGATTTTTGGCTTGAAAAATCTGCTCCAGCTCAGCTTTCTGTTCTGCCAATTCTTTCTTAAATTGGCTTTGTAAACTCTCCAATTCTGACTGATGCTTTGTAGATAACTCTTTGCGCAGGCTTTCTAAGCATAAATCTCTCTCAGACTCCCAGTCTTGCTTCAGGGTCTAATTTAATTAAGGAAAAAGGAGAGCATGACCAATAGTTGATTATCTGTCGTAAAAAAATTTAAATCACACATCTGAAAACTGGTCAGCCATCCCCTGCCCAGACCAGACTGTCACCATAGGAAACCAACTTTGAATGTATAGGACCAGAAGTACCCACAAGGCAAATAGCAAATGAAAAGAAACAAGAATCTGTCTCTGAATACACAGCAAAGGAGCCCAGTCACTCTCAGAGATTCGTGCATCTGCCCCCACAAAGATGTGGGAGTTCTACAATGATGCCACTGACCTCTGTGGGAGAACCAGGCTATGTCCCAGGTGCCCTAAGGAACAAGTCGCCACTATCTAGCTCAAGGGGAGAGGGGGTATGGGCTGGAGCACAGGCCTCCCACCCAGGACAGCCACCTTCCACCAAGTGCCTAACCACAGCGACCAGACAGAAACGCCCACATGCCCCAACGTCACACATCTCCTAACATCGCCCATGTTCCCTGACATCACCCATTTCTTCTGCCATCACCAATGCCAAAGGCCCCTCCACAAATGGAACTTTCAGAAATGGACAGGTTACGAGAATCAGAAGTTCCAGTGAAAGACTTCTTCAGAAAAGTTAATTCTGTTATACCCTAAAACATAACTATTTCCCCAAAAAGGGGGTGTGGGATGGAAACAGCAGGACAATTACAGGCCATGCTGGTGTGGTCAACACTGTGAACAGAGCCAAGCATGATGCACACAAGGGTAGACACCCTTGCCCAGCTGCTTCGCCCCTGAGGCACAGTACTTCCCTGAGGTTCCCCACCACATCCCAGCACCCACACTGCCTGCATCTCAAATACTGCAGCTTGCACCTCCCTGCATGAGGACAGAGGTCTGTGTCCCAAGCAAAGCAAAGGCCAGAACACAGCAGCCACTAAGAAAACCAGACCTGGGATGACAGAGCCTCATGTTACAAAGTTGTTCTGACAAATTCAAATTGTAAAAGTAAAAGAACGCTTTACCTCTGAAGAAAACACAACACACTTCTACCAACACAGCCCACTAAAGCTCTAACTGGGTTTGGTTTGTATCAAGTTGAGGGAGGAGCAATTCTGTGGGGGTTCCATGAGGAGGGGCAAGCTGGGGGACAGGCAGAAAAGGAAAAATCCTGTACAGAATGGCATTTTCTAATCATATATACCTCTATTACCTGGACATTTCTCTCCATTTCTGACTGTAACTTCTCCTTCAGCTCAGCTGCAAGAAAAACATAAAAATATAGTCACATCACTGAGTCCCAGGCTTTTCCACTACCTGATCACCCAGGAGACAAGGGGCTCCCAGCTCTTGCTGGCTGCTCCACAGATACCCGCCAACATCAACAGGACAAGATGCATCTGTGAAGCAAGAGCATGATGATGTGTAGTTTAATTAACAAATTATATTCATGCCTAAACCAAGGACTGCAAGATTTCCAGCCAGCAGACAGTCTGAGACGAGTGGATAAGGCTGGTTCCGGACTGCAGTCACTGAAAGCCTTGAACCCACCTATTCCTTTGGTAACAGGACCTATCCACTCCACACCAGGCCAGATCCCAGGCTAGATGCAGGAAGATAGGTGAAGACATTCTAGGACCCCAAAACTCCCAACCCTGAGAGGGGGAAAAAACACAAGAAAAGAGGAACAGATGCTGGGGAGTAGAGGAGGAAGACTTGACTGGACCAGTGGGCACAGCCAAGGTAGCACTGAGATGTGGGAACACACCTGGAGATCAGGGTGCCAGGGAGAGATGGCAAGAGCCTCAGGAAAGGGCCAAGGTGGAGCTGGGGAGAGTGTGTGCCATATGTGCACAGTGAAGGTGCCTGAACAAGTCGAGAATGAAGGCAAAGGGCCAGGAGCCACCCTGAAGGCAGGTCCCACACTGTCCACAGGAGCCAGGCCACAGCAGAATCTCTCAAAGCAGAGGGCAGGCATGGGGCTCTCTACAGACCTGCTCTTGGATGCCGTAGAGAAGACTGCTTTGGGAGGGGCCTAAGGCAACGCATATTTTGTTTTTAAAACCTTGGTCAGTGTGGCTTAGTTGATTAAGCATCACCCTATGCACTGAGAAATCACCAGTTCAATTCCCAGTCAGGGCACATGCCCAGGTTGCTGGTTTGATCCCCGGAAGGGGTGGGTACAGAAAACAACTGGCCTGCCCTGGCCAGTTTGGTTCAGTGGTTGGAGCATCGGCCTGCGGTCCAGAGAGACCCGGGTTTGGTTCCCGCTAAGGGCATGTACCTCGGTTGCAGTTTGTTCCCAGCCCTGGTTGGGTCGTGCGGGTGGCAACCACTCGATGTGTCCCTTTCATGTCGATGTTTCTCTCTTTCTCTCTCTTACTCTTTCCCCCTCCCACTCTATCTGAACAAAAAAATGAAAAAATATCCGTGGGTGAGGATTTAAAAAAAAAAAAAAAGAAAACAACTGACTGATGTTTTTCTCTCACATCAATGTTTTTCTCTCTCTCTAAAAGCAATGAAAATATATTTATAAAAGAAAAAGAAAAAACAAAAGGAAGGAAAATCATTAAAAACAAACACACAGAGATGAATACATATATATACAAGTAAATGTGAATATATATACATACAAAAAAAGGGGTGGAAGTAAACCGATGTATTCATCTTTGCTTGAATCTAGAAGACTCATAGAGAATGCTACAAGAACCTGAGAAGAGACCTAGAAAGAGGATTTCTCAACATACCTGGAGGCAGCATGCATTTCCCCTCCCCCCCAAAAAAGAAAAACTCAGCAAAGGGCAGAAAAGCAGGTACTCACACCAGCAGAAAAAGTGGGATGACTGCTAGGGGGCATGGGCTTTCTTTAAAAGGTGATGAATGTTCTAACTGCAGACTGCGATAATGTCTGCACGACTCTGACACATTCAAACCCATTGACACGTATACTTTAAGTGAGTGAATTGTGTAGTATGAGAATTATTGCTCATTAAAACTATCATTTTAAAAATATGTTTGCAAAAAGTAGTGACTACTTTAATAAAAATGTACAAAAAACATTAAAACAAAAACATAAAAGTGTATTTTAGACATAAAAAGCTCAGTCTAGGCCAGAGAATCAGGAGATAAAGAGGCTCCTGGGCCACCCACCAAGAGCACCATAACCCCACTGGGCACAAAGGAGCCTGGGGAATAAAGGGTTCTGTGTCCAGGAGCATCTGGGTTCGTCTGGACAAAGCTTGGCCACAGACATAGTCCTGTCAATGATGCAAATGTAGAAACCTCCAGCACATAAGCAAATCACTTCCAAAGATATCATTTCAAAAGTTAACACAAGCATGTTAGAGAACTGGAAAGAGGCAAAGAGACAGAGAGCAGGGTAAGGACATGCAGAGCCGACAGAGCAGGATGCACTGCCACCAGCTGGGGAGTAAACAAAGACCCAGCAGTGGTCAAAGTCCGGTGCCTACACCTTGTAACACACCACATAGCTTCTGCATGGGCAAGGAGATCAGGGCATGAGCTCCTCACCTTGAAGGCGCCTCTGATGGGGCCACCTGCTTCCCCAAATACCAGAAATGGGATTTGTGATTCCCAGACAGTCACTAGAAGCCCATGCCAGCCCTCAGACACATACCTATCTCCCTGCTGCACCTCAGGGCTGCCTCCTCCCGCTCCCGTGCATGCTGCTCTCTAACAAGCTCCAGTTCCAATAGCTGGCGGTTCTGCAGAAGGGCCAGCTCCTGGGCGTGCCGGCCATTAAGCATATCCCGAAGTTCCATCAGTGCAGTCTCCTTCTCCCTCTGTAGGTTGGCCTGTGTCAGCTCCAGCTGCGCCGTGTGCATGTTGCTCAGACTCAAGCGCAGCGCCTCCAGCTCCAGGGGTGGCACTGGCTGCAATGAGAGAGGCGGTGCTGGGGTGGCACTGGGGAAGCAGCAGCCAGTTTAAGATGTGACCCTGACCCCAAAGTCCAGGGTACATATGTTCCCGGGATGGCCCTGACCAGAGCTTCTTGTCCCTTAATGCCCCCTCACTGCCACAGCACCACTGCGTGTAAGAAGTGTGATTGGCCACTGAGAGGGAAGTGCAGGCCATGCAGTGAGTGTCCCTGGCACCTGGCCAAAATTGCTGCCACCAGATGTCCACGTGTATTCCTCCACTATCAATGGCCCCACATGAGATGTGAAAACAAAACAAACCAGGAAAGCAAATACAGTAAGCCCAAAGCACACATCCATCCACTGTGACAAATCTCTATCTGCCACCCACACAGATCCCAAACCCACTGCACTGGGTCTTGGTATAGCGACAGCATCTGGGTCACCTAGGTCTGCAGCTGTACCTGCTGCATCTCTGCCGGCAGCCCCACCATTGCCCACTGCTCCCTGTCAGTCTTGTCTTCATGTTGGCTCATCAGTTCAGCAATTTCAGGTTTACATTCCTGTTCACATTCCTGAGAAGGAGAGCAAGAGACAGGACCCAGAGAATTCAGTCATGAAAAATAATGATGATATGCCAGAGAGAATGGAAAACACACATCCTTGTTAAAACAGTCCATTAGTGTTCGCAGTAGCACTATTCACAACAGCCAAAAGGTGGAGGCAACTCAGTGTCCACCTACTGGCAACCGAATAAACAAATGTGGTGCACCCACACAACGGGATTACCAGCCACAAAAAGTAGTGACATAGGACACACTACTAACACTGATGAACCATGAAACACATTCAGTGAAAGAAGCCAGACACACACTCAGGTCCATTTGGAGGAAACGTCCAGAACAGGCAATCCACAGATAGAAAGTAGACTGGTGGTTGCCAGGGGACAGGGCAGGGAGGAGTAGGAAGTGACGGATAATGGGGAAACTTTCCTTTCGAGGTAAATAAAATGTTCTAGAATTAGTTGTGATGGATACACAAGCTACTGAATGTAATAAGAGCCACTGAAATATATACTTAAAAATGGTGAATTTTATATTATGTGAATTACAATTCAATAGAAATAACTATAAAAGGGTATGCAACCTGTTTGAGTGGCTTAGTATAAAGCTGAACCCCAGAAATAGAGGCTACAGTACTGTTACTAGGTGAGAAGAGCCTTTGTGCCCCTCAGTCATTGTGGCAAAAACTGAGACACTAAGACTGATCACCAGCCCGCCCTCCCGATACACTCTCAGTACAAGACTGCCTCACAGGTCCATGCTGGAGACCAGATGCTCACAGCTGACAACGTGAAACAAGCAAAGCATTTGGCCCATCTGGTGTGGCTCAGTGGTTGAGCAATGACCCATGCACCAAGAGGTAAGTTACCAGTCAATTCCCAGTCAGGGCACATGTGAGATTTCAGACCTGATCCCCAATAGAGGCATGTAGGAGACAGCCGATCAATGTTTCTCTCATCAATATTTCTATCCCTCTCTCCTTCTCCCTTCCTCTCTCTCTCTAAAAATCAATAAAGAGCAAAAATCAAAAACAAAAAAAAACAGAACCTTGAAAATGAATACCTTTGTGAGGACCCCAGGCTGTTCTGAACTGTCACCATCCAGCCTCTGCTGCAGCTGCTCCGAATCCTTTGTCTTTGCTCCATCAGGGTTCTCTACCTAAGAGAGAAAGGGCCAGAGAAGAGCAGTTACAGCAACGTCCAGGGCCATAGCCTCAGGCCCTCCGGGCCCCTCCACCTGCCAGCCACACCGACTCTACCTCACCTGTTCAGAATCTGCACTCTCTTCCTAAACCATTCTCAAGCTCTAAACACTTTTTGTGCAACTCATTTACCTTATGCTGCTGCTGCCCCTCTCTTTAATTAATTCTGCTTCTTTTAAGTATTTCACTGTGTACCTAAATTACTAAATTTTAGTTTCTCAACAAATTCTACTCTTTCAGACCCATATACTTAATTTTAATTTCTAAGCTCTTAATTTTATATAAGTACCATTTTATCTTCAAGTTCTTTTTTTTTTATCCTCACCCGAGGACATTTTTCCATTTTTTGTTCAGATAGAGTGGGAGGAGAGAGAGAAACATCAACGTGAAAGGGACACATCGAGTGGCTGCCACCCACACGACTCAACCAGGGCCAGGGACAAATTGCAACTGAGGTACGTGCCCTTAGCGGAAACCAAACCCGGGACTCTCCGGACCGCAGGCCAACGCTCTAACCACTGAGCCAAACTGGCCAGGGCTCAAGTTCTTCCTTTTTTACATAAAATTTTCTCTTAATTTGTACAAATAATATCTTTAGTTTCTCACTGTAAATCATCTCAAACTTCAAAGTTTTCCAATAAATTTTCCACCAATAGTCTCCTGACCTATAAATTCACAATAATTTGGGGCTTTTAATCTTCTATGCAAACTGAGATGATGATAACTCTATTGACAAAGAATCTCCGTAGTCCCCCAAAAGGATCTGTGTTTGAAACATGGAGTCAAAGGCACTTCCACTCCTAAGTATCTCAGACCTTTGTGGCCATTAACCACAGCATCCCTTAACTCTGCATACAGGCCAGAGTCTGCAGGACACAATTATGGTTATTAAGTTTCAACAACTTGAGAGGAATAACATTTCACTGTATTTCTTCTCTGATAGGTCATCCAATTAACAATAAGAAAATTTACTTATTTTTTAAATAGAGTAAAACGTATTTTATCTTGCAATTACTACACCAGTCCATGAGACCCTCATGTGTACCTAAAATATAAGATGGATCTGAGCAATTGTGTTTTTCTGTATTGTGATGCTATTTCATCATCCTAAGAATTATTTTATCATACTCATCAGTCATTCCCAACTATGCTAACAAGAAAAATAATGAGAAAACAGAAGGATGAGGGAACTGCCTAGAAGGATGAGGCAACAGTGAAATGAATCACCATCCTTCAGTTTTCTTATTGAGTGAACAGACCATCTCTGTAGCCAGCTTTCAATACGAGAATTCATTAAGAACTATTCATTTTCCTCTCAAAATGGTTAAAGAGAAGAAAGCTGACGGCAAAAACCTTTCACAATCATTAGATGAATGAAAAGATATAGACAGAGGAGCACTCAAGGACAACCAATGACGGCAACTGATGGCAAAAATGAAATCTTAGATCACAAGTGTTCACAGGACAACACGGGATCAATTTCCTCAAAATCAGGACCAAGTGAACAATATCTCTAAGGACAGAGAAAACCTGTTAGTCTCACCCCACTGGTCATGCACAAGAAGGACTCCACATCACAACGTCTGCAGCAAGAGCCTCCAGCATCCCACTGTGTTAAAAGCACGTCAATATTCTTTCATTTTTTTATATTTGGGAGCCAAAATTTACTTAATACACAAAAATTTGTATCAAAATTTCCAATAAAGTTGTTTTAAATTATTGCTCAGTCACGTCTGTAAATTATTTGTAGAACTTAAATGAGAAAAAAGAGGGTACATGGACCCAGATGATAAATGGTGATGACTATTATTTTTGGTAATCTAGACAAAAATAAGGTGGGAAAGCTCTGGAATCACACTTCCCTGAACCTTCCTCAACACTAGTTAAATCTTCAGTTTAAGATTTGGTAAAGGTGATTTTCTTCCAAAATCCTTTTTTATCCTCACCCGAGGACATTTTTTGCATTTATCTTCAGATAGAGTAGAGGAAGAGAGGGGGGAAGAGAGAGAGAGAGAAACATCGATGTGAGAGAGACACATCGAATGGCTGCCACCCACACGACCCCAACCAGGGCCGGGGACAAATTGCAACCGAGGTACATGCCCTTAGCAGGAACCGAACCCGGGACTCTTTGGTCCGCAGGCCGGTACTCTAACAGCTGAGCCAAACCAGCCGGGGCTCTTCCAAAATTCTTCATGCAATTTTTAGATGACTCTTTTACAAGAAATGGCCTCTTTGTATTTTTGTCCCTGATGCATAACTGAAAGGTCAAATGCTGCGCTGCCATTTCTGAGTTGAGTAACAGAACTGAGATGCTTTATCACCATGCATTTCATGATGACTTCCAGATGACTGGATCCTGAACATATACCATAAAGTCACTACAACTCTATCTTCACTTACAACTTCCTGAAAAAACTCAGATTTGCCTGGCTGGTGTGGTTCAGTGGATTGAGCATCGTCCCATAGACTGAGAGATCCTGGTTTGATTCCCGGTCAGGGCACATGCCTGGGTTTCGGGCTCAATGCCTGGTAGGCAGCATGCAGGAGGCAGCCAATTGATGTTTCTCTTACACATCGAAGTTTCTATCTCTCTCTCCTTACCTGTCTCTCTCTAAAAAAAACAATTAAAAAAACATATTAAAGCCCTGTCCGGTTTGGCTCAGCGGTTGGAGCGTCGGCCTGCGGTACAGAGAGACCCGGGTTCGGTTCCCACTAGGGGCACGTACCTCGGTTGCAGTTTGTCCCCGGCCCTGGCTGGTCGTGCGGGTGGCAGCCACTCGATGTGTCCCTTCACGTCGATGTTTCTCTCTTTCTCTCTTCCTCTCTCTCCCTCCCGCTCTATCTAAACAAAAAAGGAAAAAAAAATAAAATAAAATAACATATTAAAAAAAAAACTCAGCCCTGGCCAGTTTGGCTCAGCGGTTAGAGCGTCAGCCTGCGGTCCGGAGAGACCCGGGTTCGGTTCCCGCTAAGGGCACGTACCTCGGTTGCAGTTTGTCCCCGGCCCTGGTTGGTCGTGCGGGTGGCAGCCACTCGATGTGTCCCTTCATGTCGATGTTTCTCTCTCTCTCTCTCTTCCTCTCTCTCCCTCCCCCTCTATCTGTACAAAAAATGGAAAAATGTCCTCGGGTGAGGATAAAAAAAAAAAAAAAAAAACTCAGATCCTCCAGTTGCTTACAAACATGCCTTATTTATATATTCTTAGAATTTAACATATGCTTCTGTTTTCTGCACAGGTGAACAATTTACTCTCTTTACACTAAGACTTTAGAATCCTTAACTGAAAAGGCACATCAAAATTATGATATATGGCCATGGCTGGTTTGGCTCAGCAGTTAAAGCACCAGCCCACGGACTGAAGAGTCATGGGTTCGATTCTCCATCAAGGGCATGTAGCTCGGCTACAGGTTCAATCCCCAGCACCGGTCGGGATCATGCAGGAGGCAGCCAATTGATGCCTGTCTGTCTGTCTGTCTCTCTCTCTCTCTCCCATCCTCCCTCCCTCCCATTCTATCTGAAAAAAATCAATGGAAAAATATCCCCGGGTAGGGATTTAAAAATTTTTATGATATATGAACTTTTACAAGCTAATTTTTGCTACAGGATTTTCATGTAGTTGTTATGTCATATTTTCAAGCTGCCTACTATCTCTCATTTTTTAGTCTTTGTGCTCTACAAAAGAGCTCACATAGTAACTTAAATTGCTATTTCGCCCAGATTAATATGTTTCATTACATAACAAACCCACCCATACAGCCCTGAACCACCAGTAAGGGCAGCCTCAGCAGTAGGCTCCATAACCAAGTACCAATGGGACATTTTCCACTTCAGAGACTGTTTTCCCTGGGGTGTTTTCCAGTTATTTTCCTACTTCTAAAAAGAATTCAAAACTTTACATGTATACAAAAGCACTCCAATTAGATTAGTAAGGAATAAACTTATACTAGAAATCACCTATATAGAAATTACCTATATTTACCTAACAGTTAATGAGCATTAAAGTAGCAAGTGTATCAAATATAATATACTTTTGAAACCAAAATAACAATTTATTGTATGATAGAATTATATTTCACACACATTTATATTATCTTATGCTATCCAATACGCTCATTAAACTCCTATAAAAGGTAAACCTCTCAAAATTCCCAGACATGGCCCTGGCCGGTTTTGCTCAGCGGTTAGAGCATCGGCCTGAGGTCGAGAGAGACCCGGGTTTGGTTCCCGCTAAGGGCATGTACTTCAGTTGCAGTTTGTCCCCAGCCCTGGTTGGGTTGTGCGGGAGGCAGCCACTCTATGTATCCCTTTCACATTGATGTGTGTCTCTCTCTCTCTCTCTCTCTCTCTCTCTCTCCCTCCCCCCCCTCCTTCCCTCCCTCCCTCCCTCCCTCCCACTCTATCTGAACAAGAAATGGAAAAATGTCCTCGGGTGAGGATAAAAAAAAAAAAAAAAGATGCAAAATTCCAGATGGGTAGGTAGTATATCACCAACTTTACATACTGATAGTCATTCCATTTTTTTCAATAAGGCAAGCTACACATCAAGATTTTGAGTCAAATTCTGCCCTCAACTATCAGCTTTCCAACTCTTTCTAGCAAACACCTAAACCTGCACCTGCCTTATTGAACACAGTAAGGGATACTCACAATTCAAGGCCCCTTATTTATAAGGCACACAGGAAGAAGCCCAAAGGAGAGCCCACTTATGGTCAATTAGGAGGCCCCAGGGAAGCCACACCGGGTGGCACCCTCAGCACTCTCCAACCCAAGTCCAACCACCTGCTACACCTGCCCCCTGCAGCTCTCAGGGCCTCAAGCAGCAGGAGGTGGTGCCTCCCTCCAGCAAGACCATATTTCCATACCTTCACCTCCTTCCCTCCTCTTCCCACATTCAGAAAAAAGGGAAAGAACACAGAATGACAAGTAGGTGGAGTTGAGAGTAGGTGAAGGAGTATTATGGTTTAAGTGTCCAAAGAAACACCTGTTAGAGGGGTTGATGCATACAACCACACCCAATGAACTCATACCTATAAAACTTCCATCACCAAAGCAAGCACCAATACTGACAGTGTGTTCAAACAGTCAATTCAAAATTTCTCAACATCATACAGAGATAAAACATTTATTAGGAGTAAAATCACAAATATATACTCTCCTTTTGTGAACTGAATTCAAACCTGCTTTTCCCTACTTCTGAGAGGTAAAAACAGACGAATTTTCGTAAATTACGCTAACAATAACTAGAAGATAAACAAATTATAAAAACACATGCCAAGTAAATTTACCTGAGTCGCTGCTGCTCCTTCAGGGGTGTCACTACACGATGTGGTTTTGCAAATGTCCCCTCCTCCCAGGAATCCACTGTTCTCACTGGTTACCGGACTCTCCTCCTGGACAGGCGCATCGACAGTCGAGCCCTTCCTCTTCGCCGTCTTTTTCTTCGAATGCGCACAGTCACCTTTTGTTTTTCTCTGTCGGAAGTGAGCAAGCTGTGCAAAAATGTAGAAAAGTAATAAAGGCAAAGGTAGGTGAGAAAAATGTAACAGAACCACAAAGTCAGCAGGCTTGTGGGGAACATGAGGCTCTAGGGCTGACTCAGTCCACTTGGCCACACCTGACCAGATTCACATCAACCAACAGATCCCTGTCCCCCACACACTGCCTTCATTAATACCTATGATGCCAGGCTCTAAGCTCAGAATTATATCCAAAGGACTTAGATTGAAGACTATTAATTATGCCTGTATACAGACAAAAGAAAGCAAGACAGCCGAGTGACAGAACAGCTTTTCTAGCCACTGGAAATTTACAGAAAAACAGTATTTTAAAAGTGCATCTATTTAAAAAATCGATAGCTTAATCAAATCATGTTTAAGTTCTAAAATCATATAAAAGCTAAATTTCTCCCTTTCCCCCCCCCCCATTTTCTCCCAATCAAGAAAATAATATAGTCTAGCCAAAACTTCCTAGCCATAGATTCTGAGACAAGGTACAGAAATAGCAAAAAATTAATTAAGCCAGGTCAATCTAACATCCTCTTTTATGGAATCAGATGTTCTAGTTTTCATGACACAGCTTACCAAAGCACCAGGGACTCCACAGAATGTCACCCATCATAAGGCACAACCCAGCTCATTCCATCCCTCAAATCTGGGGGTTTCAGACTCTGCTCACACTCCCTCTCCCACTAACACCTTACTCAAAAGTTATGAGATCTAACATCAGCTTTCCACAGAGGGGACACCTATTCCTTTCAATGACAGCTGTGGTCATAAAAGCAAATACATTTAACAAATGTTTGTGCACAATTCCATGGACACAGGAAATTACACAAGCCATTCACATCAAAAATGACAGACAGAACCTTCAAAACTAGCCTCGTTTATTTAATTTTATTTTAATTCATTTGTTTTAAGCCATCTAAGTTTCTATCCTGCATCATAGTCCTCATTTCTGGCCTGTGGTTGCCCAACAGGAGGCATATTGTTTCTTCTCGAGATGAGGTTAATCACCACCCTCAATGCTCCTTCAAGCACATTTACTCACGTTTACAAAACCATGGTAAGCTCAGAAACAGTGTTAAACAGGCTCACTTTCATCTCCCGTGTGTGCCGGGCATAAGCAAAGGGCGCAAAAAACAGGCTACAGCCTTCCTATTCAAAACCCAGTCAGAAGTTTCACCTTCACAGGAAGCTTGAATTAGGCCACTCTGTCCTCTGCCTGTCATCTTACCATTAGACATGCTGTCCCTGTCACTGCCTCACACCAATCACTGTGTTCTGGTTTCTTTTAATGCAGTAGCCCTGCAGTTTCCTCAAGGGAAGGAACTAGCACTGAATACCTCCTACTAGCTAATCTGCATGAAATCCCCACGGTTTGGCCACGTTTCACCTCAAACACAGCAATTTCATGTGACTCTTTTTACTACTAGCTGGCACTGTACAGGCCCTCATTCTTTCATTCCTGACAGAGCAGGTCACTCCCCACAGCAAGAATGGGGTGGGGCAGTAGTCACAGCCAACATGTCCATGCCTGCTCCCTTCTGCCACTAGAGCCCAGGTCTCTTGGCATGTGGTGTAATCCCCACAATATGTCCCCAAATCAGTGAGTACCAGAAGGCGTTCTGTGAAAACCTCGGCAGAAGAGAGGTGATAAAAGCAAGCCTGGAGAATCAACTCCAAGACTACTGAGTTCACTAGGGCATCATCCACAACCTTCAGATACAGCACTCCTCCCAGGAGTCTCTGCCAGGGGTGTCTATAGCTTCCCTAGGAAGCCAGCATTGGGGGCTGACTCTAGGCAACTCCACCACCCTCACCTGCTCAAGACCATCCACCTGGCTCCCAAATAGCAAGGATTAAAGAGCAGAAGCTCCTAGACCCCAATAATATGAAGCAGTAGGTCAGCAAGAGGTAGTATTCCGCAATGTAAACAAGTCTCCTGGAACACCACTCGGAGGCCCTTTTACATTAATACTTCAGAATTTCAGGTAAAATGAAAAACTGCGCGTAGTTTTAAATGGATAAAAGCAGCCTTGAGCCCTAGAGAGCGCGCCCGTGTCTCCCAGGACTGAAGGAAGTCACAAGTCCTAGAAGTCCTCCAGGAAGCCTGAGCTGTGACGAGGCGGAGCCGCAGCAGGTGCTGGTGTGCACAGGTGCGCAGGGGTGCCACGAGCTGGCTATCCGAGAATGAGGATGCACGATGTGGTGAGAGCGCCCTTCCCTTCACTATCCACCTGCCCTTCACTTTCTATTGGGATCCGGATGTGGGTGGTCGGTCAGGGACGCGGCGCGTTCCTAAGCTACTGCTGTCCGTTAGGGCGCTTCGGAGCCTGGCCAAGGCTTGACCGCAAATCGAAGGCCGCCAAGCCGGCCTCCCGGGAAACGCGGAAGGGCGGTGTCCCAGCAGAGACCCCTACCCCGCCTGCCAGTACCGCCCCTCCAGTAACTACTACAGCCGCCACACCCCCGTTCCATGCGCCGGAGCAACCCCTCAAGTCTAGGCGCGCCCCGCCCCTGCCCTCCCAGCGAGACGCCGCACGTCCTCTGTCGCTGATTGGCTGCGACCGCGGCAGGGGCGGGTTCGGGCAGAGAGCGGCGGATTCAAGATGGCGGCAGCCAGGAGGTAGCTTCTAGCCGAGTCCCATGGAAAGGGCAAGAGTGTGGCAGCGTCCACCTGACCGGCTCCGCTCCTGGCAGGCGCTGGGGGAGAGCCCGGAGCCCGCCCTTAGGAGTCCACACCGGGGAAGCGGGAGGGGTCCGCGCTACCGTTTACCTTCGCCCTTCCGGCCTCCACCTTTCTGCGCCGCTGCTCTTGCTCATCTTCTTCCATCTCCCTCCAGGCCTCCTCGCGGGACGCCCGGGAGGTGACGGACCGACGCGGCGCCGCCTTCGCTCTATTTACACTCCCTCCCCTTTGCCCGGGCTCGCCCTCCCCTGCGACAACTGTCACGCAGACGTGAGCCCGCCCCTAGCTTGGCCGGCTCCGCCACCAATCGGAAGGTCACGTTCCTGCCCTCGCGCACGCGCTCTCCGAATGGCGCGGCCTGCGTCGGGCTCCGCCCCTGCCGCTTGCCGGCCACCAATTGGCGCGGTGACGCTCCAATCAGCGGAGGGTACTGGCCTCGGCACAGGCTGTGGTTGGTCGATCTTAAAGGCCGCGACACTTCTGGTCTGCGCAGGCCCTAGGGCTGCAGTCCAGCTCTGGAACACGGACTCTCAAGATTCACATTTCGTGGAATCCAGAGTAGGCCCCGTGGACGCCAAGACCTCTGGACCAAGTCTTGCTGTCAGTTTGTTTTGTTTTTTTCTATTTTTCTTTATTTTCTTTTTGCATTATTTTATTTTTTATCTTTATTGTTGAATGTATTACAGATGTTCCTTATTTTCCCCCATTAACCCCCAACTCCCACCCCCCCTCCCGCCTTTTCCCACACTGTTTTCTGTGTCCATTGGTTATGCATATAAATTCTTTGGTTTATTTCTTCCCACCTCCCAACCCCCTTCTCTTTGAGGTTTCTCAGTCTAGCAACCAATTTGTTCTTCTTAATCCCTTCACCTTTTTCACCCATTCTCCCAAACCCCCTTCCAACTGGCAACCAACAAAATGTTCTCTGTATCTATGAGAATGTGTCTGTTCTACCTGTTCATTTTGTTTGTAGATTCCATTACCGATAGATATGTGTTCATTGCCATTTTGTTTGTTCATATATTTTATCTTTTTCTTCAAAAAGACCCTTCAACATTTCATATAATAACGGTTTGGTGGTGATTAACTCCTTTAACTTTTTCTTGTCTGGGAAACTCTTTATATGGCCATCGATTCTAAATGACAGCTTTGCAGGATAGAGTAATCTTGGTTGTAGGTTGTTGCTTTTCATCACTCTGAATATTTCTTGCCACTCCCTTGTGGCCTGCAAAGTTTCTTTTGAGAAATCAGCTGACAGTCTTATGGGAACTCCCTTGTAGATAACTGCTTTTAAGATTCTCTTTGTCTTGAACCTTTTGCATTTTTGATGATGATGTGTCTTGGTGTGGGCCTCTTGGAGTTCATCTTGTTTGGGACTCTCTCTGCTTCCTGGACTTGTATGTCTGTCTCCTTCACCAAGTTAGGAAACTTTTGTGCCATTATTGTTCAAACAGGTTTTCGATTTCTTGTTCTCTCTCTTCTCCTTCTGGCACCCCCAAGATGTGAATGTTGGCACGCTTGAAGTTGTCCCAGAGGCTCCTTACACTATCCTCATTTTTTTTGGATTCTTTTTTTCATTTTGCTGTTCTGATTGGGTGTTTTTTGCTTCCTTATATTCCATATTGATGGTTTGCTTCTTGGCTTTACCTACTCTACTATTGAATCTGTGTAAATTATTCTTTATTCCAGTTAATGCCTCCTTCATTTCTGACTGTGCATCCTTCATTTCTGACTGGTCTTTTTTTATGCTCTTGAGGCCCTCACTAAGTTCACTGAGGTTCTCACTGAGTTCATTGAGCATCCTTCAAAGCAGTATTTTGAACTCAGCATCTGTTAGGTTGCTTATCTCCATTTCGCTTAGTTCTTTTCTTGGGGTTTTGTTCTGTTCTTTCATTTGAGACCTGTTTCTTTGTCTCCTCATTTGGGCTGCCTCCCTGTGTTTGCTTCTATGTATTACTTAACGAGAGGTATGGGGCTAGCTGAGACCAGATGCTGCTTGTTTGAAAGACTTTAAGAAAACCTGAATCAGGATCCAAGACAGGCCAATCCTACAGTTAACCACCTGGCAATAGCTTGGGTGGGCCTGAAAGTTGGGTGAGGCGGTGCCTCAGGGAATCACCAGGGCGGGACAACCAGTGTGAGCCAGGTTGCTGGAGTCCCAGATGTGGTGGCTATCTGCTGCCCCAAGGAAGGGCTCACCAAAGGAACAAAGGCCTCTGACAGCACATTTGTCCCGGAGAAAGCCCCCTCTACAGCTCTCGCTCCAGTGCCAAACAGCTCATTTCTTCCCTGTATGTTTCTGGTGCCCCTCGAGCTGCCTCTCCTCCAAGCTTAGAGGGAGTGAATCCAATAAATCCATGCGCGGGCCCTTTAAGAGGAGTTGCCTGGGGCTCCAGCTACCTCAGCTTCCCTGAGCCTCAGTTCCCACTGGCTTTTCCAGCCAGAACTTATGGGGACTTCTCTTCATGGCACTGGAACCCTGAGCGGGGTGCCTGCTGTGGGACAGGGACCCCTCAGTCCTCAGGGAGGACCTTCCCAGCCAAGGTATTCTGATTTTTATCCGCCACACGTGGGTGTGGGACAGCCCTTACGCCTCCGCCCCTCCTACCAGTCTCGGTGTGGCTGCTTCTTTAATTCCGTAGTTGTAGGACTTCCATTCAGCTTGATTTCAGGCGGTTTTGAATGATGGTGGTTCTGTATTTTAGTTGTAACTTGGATGTGGTTGTGGGAGGACGCTATAGCGCGTTAACCTACGCTGCCATCTTGACCAGAAGTCCTGTTGCTGTCAATTTTAACCCCAGATTAGTTATTTAGTTGTTAGACGTGGACCCCTGGAGAGTTGAGACCTACCCCAAAGGAGCCGGGCACTTGCAGAGCCCACCCCACCTTTCTCTTCAAGGAAAGGCTTCCAGCGACCCGCTTTTCATCTCCACCCGCATCTACTCCGCGAGTGAGAAGTCCTAGAGCTGGGTCCCTTTGCCTGGAAAACTGACTGGCTTTAGGGCTGCAGTGGGCATCTCACATCTCACCCCCGCTGTCCCAGATCCCCTAACCGTGGTCCCTCAGGGCTGAGCCCTGGTCACAGCCCTTTGCCGCTGGGATGCTGTCTTTGTTCAGTTCACAGTCCACAGCCAGCAAAATCACTTTGATCCTTTCCTACAAGTTTCTTCCCCTACTGTGTGACTTCACTTCCACCTCCTTGCTTGCGGGCGCATGAACTGAGGGAGCCCAAGTACCAGGGCAGCCAGTTACGAATTCAATGGCGTCTCAGTCAGGACCTCCAACCACAGAGCCCAGAATTGCAGGGACAGGAAGCCACTGAGACTGGTGCCACTCCTGGACCCACCCATGTATTCTTCCTACTGGAGAGACAGTGCTAGATTTAGGTCTCTGAGTTAATGCGTCTACCCCTAGCTTGCAGCCTCTGATTTGACCAGAGGGTCCTACAGTCATGGGTCCACTTCATCATCTCTGCCATAAAGCGGTCCTCTGGATCAAAGAATGTTAGGAGGGACCCAGTGCTGGTGGGGAGTTCTGGAGGGCGGAGCACGCTGAGGCCCTGCAAGCAGGAAAGGAAAACCCATACCTGTAATGGGCATCTGTTAGGACAGTCTCTGGAACCCCAGGATGGAAGGGACTTCATAAGCTGACTTGCCAGGTGGCCTCTGGTCTTGAGAAAAATTTGTTGAGGATTTGCTTTTAAACGATACAGTAATTGTACCCAGTTCTAGATCACTAGAAGGTAAGCACTGATTCAGCGAAAAGCAAAATCAGTCTTCTCAAGTGGAAAAGAATTAAGGCTTTGAAATATTTGGGTAAATCATTCTGTTGGTGGTGGTGGGAATGGCACCAGGTATTGGACCGGTGGGATCAGACCAGACCAGGGTTCAGCAGCCCCGGTACTTGAGTTCTGACTAGGAAAGAATTCAGAGCCAAGACTCAAACTATAAGAGAACATTTATTTCAGAAAACCACAGAGGTAGAAGAAATGGGCTTAGGAAACAAGGCAAAGGAAGGGCCTTGGAGCTTCGCAGTGAAGAAGGTAAAGGTGATGTGCCTGGGGGATGAAAAGAGGGAAGGGAAAGGCACCTGCATGCTCCTGGGAGGGAGAGTTCACTGGGTTCTCTGTTTTAAAGATGGAGATTTTAGGGAAGGTCCCAGGGGAAGATGTCAAAATATTCAGCAACTTTCCAGATGTGCCCTTTCAGGGTTGGAGTCTCCATTGATTGATTGGCTGGCCCCAGAGCAGGGGGTCATTATTCAATGCAGCTGGTCCTGAGGTCAGCCTTGGCATCACTGTGTGGTTTTGATGTTTTTCTGAGCCTGGAACTGAAATACAACTGAGGCCTAGAAATCGCTAGGGAGGAAAGGTCAGGGGGTCCAAACCCCATGACCAGTGATGTGCTAGGGGAGGAAAGGTCATCCTGGGGATAAGGTCCTACCCTATGATTGTCGGTTGCTAGGCTTTCCATCCTGGCGACCTGTACCTGGCCCATCATCCTTGCTCTGCTCATGTCTGTCTAACTGCCTACCACAATTCCATGTATATTGCAAATGGTTATTAAAAAGGAATGTGCTGGCCTTAGCCGGTTTGGTTCAGCAGTTAGAGCATCGGGCAACAGACCAAAGAATCGCGTATTCCATTCCGGTCAAGGGCATACCTAGGTTTAGGTTCGTCCCAGCCTTGGTCAGGGTTGTGTGGGAGGCAGCCAGTCAATGTGTCTCTCTCTCTTCCTCTCTCTCTCTCCTGTTTTTCTCTCTCTCCCTCCCCCTCCCTCAGGTGAGGATTTAAAAAAAAAAAAGGAATGCGTGTGGCTTGGTTGGGTATAGTTTTGTGCACTGGAAGGTTTCTGGTTCAATTCCTGGTCGGGGGGTATGCAGGAGGCCACCTATCAATATTCTGCTCTCATATGGTTGTTCCTCTCTCTCCTCTCCCAATCTCTCTAAAAAAAAAAATCAATAAAATAAAAAATTATATTTGGTATGTGCCCCTAGCAGGAACCGAACCCAGGACTCTCTGGTCCGCAGGCCGTCACTCCAACCGTTGAGCCAAACCGGCCAGGGCTAAAATAAAAATTTTTAAAGAAATGTATTATACTCACCTGTTCAATTTTTCTAAGAACCTAAAACTGCTGTGGACAAAAAAAGGAGCCACATACTAAATCTGACAAGCCCAGATGAGGCCTGTATGGTGGCATTACAAACTCAGAGACCCAAGTAACAACCTAGGATGGTCTGAAATTAAAGCTTTCTAACTAAAAGCAGTTCAAGGTGGGTAGTCATGTTTTAGGGCAGTACTTTTTTTCCTAACAAAGGTCAATTTTCACTATCTTTTTGCTGCTAAAATAACATATCTGATAACATACTTTTAAAATATCAAAATAAATTATTTCTCCCACCCTCCAACCCCTTAGAGCACAACCACAGCACCAGAGCAGAGACCACAAACCCCCTCATGGTTGTGTTAATTGTTAATTATTACCTATCCTATACCCGCCTATGTAAAAGAATGTGTCTGTTTTATTTTTTATCCAATCCAAAATACCCCTCCCCCCTTATCAGCTTTGCTTTCTTCTGCCTCCCTACTCTGCCATCAATGGATTTCATGTAACCCCTTTACATCTTCACCTTTGATTCTGATGTATAAAGTAAGTGGTAACACTGCCATTTTCCAGAGCATTGTCCCAACCCACTGAGGTTGTGTTTCTGGCAATTGTCAGTTTGGTTCAAATAAATTCATAAAAATTCTTTCAGGTTTGCCCGGAAGGTGTGGCTCAGTGGTTGAGCATCGATCCGTGCATTAAGAGGTCACTGTTTTGATTTCTAGTCGAGGCTCATGCCCAGGTTGTGGGCTCAATCCCCAGTGTGGGGTATGTGGAAGGCGGCCAATCAATGTTCTCTCTCATCGATGTTTCTATCTCTCTCTCTCTCTCTCTCTCTCTCTCTCTCTAAAAATAATAAAGAAAAATTATTTAAAAAAAAAATTATTCCAGGTCTGAACGTTTCTTATGTAGAGACACTGCTCTAAAAAGAAAAAACCAAAGTATTAAATGTTATTTTTTTTAAAAGAAGAATATGCCTGACTGGTGTGGCTCAGTGGATTGAGTGTCGTCCCATGGACTGAGAAGACCTGGTTCAATTCCTGGTCAGGACACTTGCCCAGGTTGCGGGCCCAATCCCCAGTGAGGGACGTGCAGGAGGTGGCCAATCAATGTTTCTCTCTCTCATCGATATTTCTATTTCTCTCTCTAAAAAAGTCAATAAAAATATTTAAACATTTTTAAAAAAGAAGAAGAAGAAGAAAAAGAGGGCCCTGGCCAGTTTGGCTCAGTGGTTGGAGCGTCGGCCTGCGGTCCAGAGAGACCTGGGTTTGGTTACCGCTAAGGGCACGTACCTCGGTTGTGGTTTGTTCCCGGCCCTGGTTGGTCATGCGGGTGGCAGCCACTCGATGTGTTCCTTTCACCTTGATGTTTCCCTCTCTCTCTCTTCCTCTCTCTCCCTCCCACTCTGCCTGAACAAAAAATGGAAAAATGTCCTCAGGTGAGGACAAAAAATAAAAGAAGAGGAATATAACTTTGGTTACTAATTCATGGTCTGGACGGGAATCTGAAGTCTCATGAAATTATTGTTTGCCCAGATAAGAAAACAATGCAAGGTTTTTTTGGTATGTGCCCCTAGCGGGAACCGAACTGGGACTCTGGTCCGCAGGCCAGGGCTCCAACCGCTGAGCAAAACTGGCCAGGGCACAATGCCAAGGTTTTTATTCCTAGCCCAGGATTTAGATTAACAATCAAATGCTGGTAGTGTAATCAAGCTCATTGGAAGCTCATAACCTGTGATTAATTGACAATTCAAAGCATCTGGCTTGCACCTCTTGTTATTCTAGCGTAACTAAACCTGGCTGAGTGTTTCTAACACAGCAGAGCAGCAGAGCTACTCACTAAGTGGTGATCTTGCTTACCTAAATGGGCTTAACATTCTCGTCTTATTTCACTTTTTCTAATCACTATCAGTAACATCGCATTTGCTATTAAAGGGAAAATGAAAACAAAGCCCAAGGTTAGAGTCTCAATACAACACATATTTCAGTTGCAGGATTAGGACACCACAGAGTCCAAGCAGATGACGCAGACAGGGTGAGAGTCACCATCTCCCCGAGAGACACGGGAGACCACTGAACGGCTGTGCCTTGATTTCCCTCTGTGAAAATTGTAAACACCACTGAAAGTCACTCTATTACAGATCTGAGCCATTGTAGAGCTGGGTAGGATGACAATACTTCAAGTGGCCTACAACTAGAGAGGTGACATAAAACACAAGATTGGGGTGAATGACCCTGTGCAGGGAATGTTACAGCAAACATACCATGGTGTCTGGGTTTCCTTCTGTCTCATTCACCCATTCCTGTACCTTTACTTGAAAGGGGTATGTTCCCTGTTTGTTCTCTTCTCTGAGCTGGACTAACAGTACTAATGCACTTCCATTAGTGGGCTGTAGTGACACCTAGCTGACACAGCTCATCTTTCAACCTCAGTTAAGAATGTGTAATTCTAAGCAACCACGACTTACACAAATATTCTTCAGGAAACCCTAGAAACTCAACTGCCAGAAGGCATTCATGCTGTTGTGTGGGACCACAGCCCTTTGTGTAGTGAGTCAAGTTTCCAGTCTTAGCACACAGAAATGAGCAGCTTGAGTAAATATGCAGTGGTGGACTCATAAAACCAGGGGCCAGGCAGGCAACGCTGGCAGACCACATGATAAAATTTTCTAAGAGCAGTCAGAGACCCAGATCTATGCCTGAATCTCTCAAACTTCATGTGTTGCAATACACTTGAAACTCCATGGGAGCCCATGTGCAGTTTGCCCACACTGGTTTGGGCAGTGGTTGGTGGTTTTCAAATTGTGTTCCTCAGAATTCCAGGATCATGTCCATGGCCATTCTAAAAAGATTCTGTAACTGCTGGATACTTACCCTGAAGGAGGGGAACATTACCCACCACTCCTTAAATGTGGGCTATGCATAGTGACTTCCTCCCACAGAGGACAGTGTGGGAAGGGAGAGAAAAAAGTAATGTGGAATAGAGAAACCTGACTGACGGGACATCCACCAGGTGATCAAGGTCAACACCAACAGTGACAGATCATGTTGATGGCAGGCACCCTGGATAGGAGGTGATGAAAAGGGGGCTGCACCTCTGTGGTATTCCTCCCAACAAGCCATAACCCCAGTCCAATCAGGAGAAGAACATCAGACAAATCCCAAGAGAAGAACATTCTACAAAATCCCTGACCCAGTTTCCTCAAAACTGTCAAGATCATCAAAAGCGAGAGGAGACAAAGACGACATGATGACTAAATGTCATACGGTGTCCTGAATGGGATCCTGGGACAGAAAAAAAGACAGGCAAAAGAATAAGGAAATGAAATGAAGTATGAACTTCAGTTAATTATAATGTATCAATATAATAGGTTTGTTAATCGTAACAAATGTGTCATGCCAATATAAGATGTTAATAACTGGGGAGCCATATGTGGGACCTCTCTGTACTATCTTCTCAATTTTTCTGTGAATCTAAAGCTATTCTAAAAAATAAAGTTTGTTTTATTTTAAACTGCCAAACAAGCTCGTACTCCCTGGGATGTATATATCCCTGGAGTCACCTCCTAGTTACCCTGAGTTGCTAAGTTAACTAGTTTTTGTGCACACTCAGACCTCCTGTTTGAACGTTAGGATTATGATACAAATACTGAAGGACAACGTAAGGGATTTTAGCCCAATTTTGGCCATCTGATGCAAGTTTCTGGGTTGGCTACATTGAGGAGAGGGCTATAAACTGCTGAGCCCTACTCCTACCCCAACCCTGGACCGCGACCACCATTCCAATTTCAAATCTGTTAGAAATCTTCATCAGTCCAGTTGACCCATTTGTAAACCTGAAATGGAAAGCCATGACAACCAAGAACCACTTCTTCTGTTCCATGCCCTGCCTTCCGTGCAGCTCACCAACTGCAAAGGCCTGCCCTGCTGGTTGCACCCTCCTGCTCACACCTGCCCCAGGTGTCCCCTCCTCGTAGCCACCAGGATGCCTACCTCTGCCTTGGTAGGGTCCTTACCGGGCGGTCCCACCACTAAACTCACATCTCACCCCGCAGGGTGGGGTCCAGCCCTTGTCACGTGAGGAGCCAGCTGAGTGCCTGTGGGGTGGATGAACCGCATGCCCCACCAGGGAGACCCTGAACAGTCATTGGCCAGCTCCCTGGTGCTACCCCAACTGTGGCCAAAGGGAACTGGTGCCCCTACCTCATACTCCTGGTGTTAGGGTTGCACTCCTGTCTTGCTGGGAGGGTGCCTTGGAGTGGCCAGGGGCCTGTTGGCCTCCTGGAGGCAGTAATGGATGAAGCATGCAGGCCCCTGCATGCAGTGGGGGATGGATATGGCTGGCCCCTCCTCACAGCCTCACCCTCTTCTGCAATCTGTCCTGAGGGTGGGGGCCATACATGGTGGGGTGGGGAATGTCCTCCCCCCAGGGCCCTGCTCTGCCCCTCTGGCCCCAGCTGCTGTCCACTTTTGCCTTCCCAAGGGGCCCCGCCTGGCCATACCTGGGAATGGCAGTGTTTGCAGGTAACCCCCGCATGGGGACTGGGCGGGGCCTGGAAGGGACTCTCAGGCAACCTGGCAACCTGGGGCCTCCCTGTCTGTGGTGCCTAGCAACTGCCTTGGTGATGCAGTGTTGGCTTCAGACACTGCAGCCTAGGGGAAGGTAGGGCCCTCCTGCTCGCTGGCAGAGGCCAGTCTTCAGGAGGTAAGTGAGCCCAGTGCCACAATCCTTTAGTGACAGCAGGGCTGAAGCTGCTTGGGGGCCTGCAGGATCCCTTCTCCTACAGTGCTGGGATGCTGGACTCCTCTGTGACAGATCAGATGGCCCGACTTAACCTAAAACTCTTGGAGAAGGTAAGACAGACAGACACTCGTGTTTTTAACACCTGGTTAGAGGAGCACAGCTTTAAAAGGTAAGATATTCGCCCTGGCCGGTTTGGCTCAGCGGTTAGAGTGTCAGCTTGCGGTCCTGAGAGACCCGGGTTCGGTTCCCGCTAAGGGCATGTATCTCAGTTGCAGTGTGTCCCCAGCCCTGCTTGGGTTGTGCGGGTGGCAGCCACTCGATGTGTCCCTTTCACATCGATGTTTCTCTCTCCCTCTCTCTCTTCCCCTCTCTCCCTCCCACTCAGTCTGAACAAAAAAATGGAAAAATGTCCTCAGGTGAGGATAAAAAAATAAAATTAAAAAAAATAAAAGGTAATATATTCTTGTGAGTGCTACTGCTTCCCAGCAAAACCCTCTCCAGTGGCATTGAGCCTTGTAATGAAGCACTGTGGCTTCTTGGTTTTTGTTCTTTTTGTTCATACAGAACCAAGTAGGTTCTTCTGACAGCTTCTGCAGCCAGGACACAGGCACGCACCTACTGGCCAGCATGTTCAGAGCCCCGTAAAGGTCCCCTGAGGAGCCTCTGGGCTTCAGTGTTTAAGGGAAGACAGAACCATCTGGTGTAGGACCCACAGTCCCCTGGGCTGGGCCTGGGGCGGGCAACCTGGTGGACCTATCCTCACACCAGTCTTCTTATCCTCTGAGGGTCTGCATGGGCCTCACAGACCATCCAATGCAGCAGTTCCTCTGTATCCCCACCTGCTTATTCCTCTTCTGCTGCCCTCACAGCCCTGCACCCTACCCCCAGTCTGGTGGCCCATGGACCGCCTTGCAGGAGTCACTCCAGTACTGGCCCAAACTGTGGCTGCCCAGCCCAGGGCCCAGGTGGGGAGGTCAGGGACACAGAGTTAGCCTGAGGTTCAGCTCTTAGAAAGCTGTCTGAAGGAGGCCACACATGTCACAGTGTCCACCCTTAGAATTCAAGGAGGAATGCGTGCGTTGTTGGAGAATGTGACATACTCGTCCTTGAGAGGATGATGACCCTTGCCGCCTGTCCCACACCCCCACCACACAGCACTTCCTGCCCTGTCCCCTCCATCTGGGGCATGGGCGGGAGCACAGGCAGGTGCCCACGCCAGCCCGTGCCCTATTGACACTGAGCCTGTGCTGGGATCCCTGTCATTGTCTCTTCCTCACAGAAACTGGAGCAGGAGCGTGAGGATTTGGAAGGGGATTCTGAGGAGCCTCACCTTCTGCCAGGTAAGAGCTGGGCTGCTTGGAGCCCTTCAGGCAGGCACGAGACCCACCTTCTGCTCAGTTCCTTCCCTCTTTTGTCACTGGCTAGACTGATTAATACTAGTCCTTACATACAGGGCCGAAGGCTTTTGTTTTCATCTTTACAACACTCTCTCTCTCACACACGTGCACACACACCACACTCCCGTGCTCTCACATACCAGGTGCTCTGCTGAGTGCACCCTCACATCTCATCCTGTCACCTTTATCACTAAACCCCAAGTCAAGAACATCCCTCGTCCCCATTTTCCAGATGAGAAATGGAGGCTCACATCACCCCCAGTCCAGCGGGTGAGGTGGGGGTGTTCTGGGGTCTGCACATTCCTCAGCATAGTTTCTCTCCAGGACACAAGGACAGGCCGGACGCAGCCCTGCAGAGCTCTCTGAGGAAGAGGAAGGACCTTCTGCAGAGACTCTTGGTAGGCCGGCGTCTGGCCTGGCCAGAGCTGTCTGTGACTGAAACTACACGTTCAGACCCAGGAGGGCAGTGGGGGTGCAGGTGGGGGTGGGGACTAGGGGGTGAGAATAGGGGTGTCGAGTCTTGCTGGATCGGTGCTGGTTCTCTGGGGTCTGTAACTCCTGGATGGCTAGCTGGTGAACTGCAAGCAGCTAAGAGACTTCACACTTGGGGCATGGAATGCACTCAATTGAGAAAGGAACATGCTGGCACTGTCCGTGGTCTGGGCTCTGACAAGCATGTGATTAGCTAGAACACCTGCTCTGGAGGCACATTATCCAAGGTGGAAATGCTAAGTAAAGGGCCCGATTCCCACAGGAAGTGGAATTCTAAGAAGCCCAGAGGCCTGGATCCAACTCCGTCCCAGCAGCGGGAAGGAGCACACAACAGTCCGCACAAACAGTTACAATAAACGTAGCACTTGTAATGAAGGGGTTGCTGAGGCAGCTGGAACCAGAAACTAGTTCTTGTGATTTGGTAAATTTAAAAGGAGGCAGTATTACCCTAAGAAGCCTGAAACAGCAATCAGAAAGAATATATGTACCCCCATGTTCATAGCAGCACTATTTACAATAGCTAAGATCTGGAAACAGCCCAAATAGCCATCAGTAGACGAATGGATAAAAAAGCTGTGGTACATATACACAATGGAGTACTATGCAGCGGTAAGAAGGAAAGATCTCTTATCCTTTGAGACGACATGGAGGGACCTGGAAAGTATTATCCTAAGTGAAACAAGCCAAGCAAAAAAAGACAAGTATCATATGATCTCACTTATTTGTGGAATATAATGAACATAACAGTCTGAGGAATGGGGTAGTCCCAGAGACGTGGAAGTGGGGTACAGACTGACAATTCCCAGAAAAGGGGGAGAGATAAACCACAGAACTTATATGCATGTATGCATGAACATGGACATGGACAACAAAGCTGGGGACAGGGCGGAGAGTGGTGGGGAAGGGGGAATCAGTGGGGGAAAAAGGAGAAACATCTGTAACAAAAATAAATTAATTAATTGAAAAAAAGAATACAATAAAACTTGCTTAAAATCATTAAAAAAAAAAAAAAAGAGGAGGCAGTATTGCCCTGGCCAAAGTGGTTAGAGCGTCGGCCCGCAGACCAGAGAGTCCAGGGTTTGGTTCCCACTAAGGGCACATACCTCAGTTGTGGTTTGTCCCCGGCCCCTGGCGAGGTTGTGTGGGTGGCAGCAAGTCGGTGTGTCTCTCTCACATCGATGTTTCTCTCTCTCTTCCTCTCTCTCTATCTGAAGATAAATGCAAAAATGTCCTCAGATCTGTAACAAAATTAAAATTAAAAAAAAAAAAAGTCCTCGGGTGAGGATAAAAAATAATAATAATAATAATAATAATAATAATAATAATAAATAAAAGGAGGCTGCCCTGGCCGGTTTGGCTCAGCGGTTAAAGCGTGGGCCTGCGGTCCAGAGAGACCCGGGTTCGGTTCCCGCTAAGGTCATTTACCTCGGTTGCAGTTTGTCCCCGGCTCTGATCAGTCGTGTGGATGGCAGCCACTCAATGTGTTCCTTTCACATCGATGTTTCTCTCTCTCTCTCTGTTCCTCCCTCTCCCTCCCACTCTACCTGAACAAAAAATGGAAAAATGTCCTCTGGTGAGGATAAAAATAAATAAAATAAAATAAAATAAAATAAAATAAAATAAAATAATAAAATAAAATAAAATAAAATACAGTAATAAAATAAAATAAAATGAGGCAGTATTCTCAAGTGGCCCTTGGGCCTTGCTTTCAGTCCTGGCTCCAGTTCTAGAGAAGCCCTGCAAGGAAGAGAGGGAGACCCAAGGTGTCCCACATGGGCCACCCATCTGCCCCAGGACACATCTCCCCCACCAGCCTCAGTGACTGCCCCTTGACGCAGCAGTCTCTGGTTGGCGTTGCAGGAACAACACCTCCTGGAAGAGCTCTCCGCTGCCCACACCTGTGCCTGCAGGAGGCCCAGCAGAGGAGCCCATGGCTCAGCGCTGCCCCCAGAGGTGCCCCCTGGCATCTACACCGCAGCCTCCCCGCCCCCACCAGCCCTTGAGCTGCCTCGGGTGATCGCACACTCGGTAGGTCTCCCTCCAGGTGAACCCAGGGGCAGAACCACTGTGGGGAGGCAAGCTCAGCAGCATTATGAGAGTGCTCTGAAGAGGGACGGATGGCTAACAACTAACAGTGGTGCACTTACCACACCCAGGCACTCACAAGGATGTCAGTGGCTCTTCTCAGTCACGCTCGCAGGTGCCCTAAGACAGGGTTTTGGGGAGTGGTGGTCTTATCCCTCATTACAGATGAGTGGCTGGGGTCCCAGCCCCAGGTCCTAACTTTTGCTCTAGGAGTAGAAATATTAGGAAAATTCAGCATCAAGAGGATCCTGAATTTGGGGAAGAAGTGTGTTAACTCATTTTCAAAACTTCTTCATGACCAGGAGACGCTTCAGAACTTCATTTCAAGAGCAGAATGAAAAAAAGGGAAAAGAAAGACCCAGCATTCTGGATTGCAAACAGGGGAAAGCAGTTCTGACTTCCTTAAGGAAAAGGGATTGTGTCAGAGCCAGCGGGGTGCTCAGAGGAGGGACAGAAGGTGGGATCTGGCCTGTTGAGGCTTCGGGGAGAAGAGCAGTGTGATTGGGGAGAAGAGATGGCCAAGGACGTGGGCAGGCTAATTGAGAAGGTTCTGCACTGGCTGGCCAGGGAACCTGATGGTGCCAGCAGGCTGAGTCAGGACCTAGAAGGCACTTGTTCTTTGAGAGAGAACCTGGGAGCACATGGTGGAGAGAATAGAGTGAAAAGGGGAACCTTAGAGGGATCCCTGCTCATAGGGATCCCAGAGTCCCCTTTGCCCTTGGGCTCTCTGCATCCAGGTTCCAGTTATCCATAGTCTGTGCCCTCCAGTCTTCCAACACCTGGACCTCCTTCCAGGTATGGAGGGAGGGTGGGGGTGTAAGTACAGGACACTCCCTCCAGCCCCAAGTATGTTCACACTTCCTGCACGTGACCAGGGCCTGGCCATGCTCCCGTGTTTCCCAGTGACACCAAGAGGTCAAGCTGGACCCTTGTTCACTGAATTTCCAGAAGTTGGACTTAGAGAGCCTGAGGCAGGAGGTCCTTCAGCCAGGGCAGGCACAGTGCTCTAAGAGGGCCTCCTCAGTAGATGCCAGGGGTGGCAACTGTGGCTGTGGCTAAAGCTGGCCTGTCATTTGTGTTTGTACAACTTGCAGGCTAAGAATGCTTTTGCACTTTTAAATGTTTGGGGAAGCCCTGGCCAGTTTTACTCAGTGGTTCGAGCGTTGGCCTGAGGACCAAAGAGTCAAGAGCCCGTATCTCGGTTGTGGTTCAGTCCCCGGCCCTGGTCAGGGTCATGCGGGAGGCAGCCAATTGATGTGTTTCTCACATTGATGATTCTCTCCTCTCCTTCCACTCTATCTGAAGATAAATGGAAAAATATCCTCTGATGAGGATTTTTAAATAAATAAATGTTTGGGGGGAAAAAATAAAAAGAAGAATAGTTTGGAACACATGAAAACGATATGAAATGCAAACCTCTGTGCTCATAAATAATCTCACTGGACCAGCCTCATCAGTTTAGTGTCTGTGCTGAGCAGTTGGCCCACAGCGTGCAGATGGTCACAGAAGAAGGTTACCACCTGTGGCCTATACCAAGCCTTCTGTGAACTGAGAAAGAAGGAATAGGATCAGGGCCTTGTACATCCACAAAGGATTAAAAGAGAAAGTCTTCCTGATGTACAATCAATGTCCAGTGCATGCTCAAAATTGTACATTTATTTTATTTAAAAAAATTTTTTTTATTGATTTTTAGAGAGAGGAACAGGGAGAAGGGGGGCGGGAGAAGGCGGGAGAGATTTCTTGTTCCACTTATTTATGCATTCATTGGATAGGTGGATGGATGGGTGGGTTACTAGGTGAGTGGATGGGTGGATGGGTGAGTGGATAGCAGGATGGATGTGTGAATGGGTGGTAGGTGGGTGGTTTGCTGGGTGGATGCACGGGTGGGAGTGTGGATAGGTGGGTGCTGTAGGACACTCTCTCCAAGGACACGTTCAGGTAGCTAGTCACCTGGCTCTTCCTAGGTCCCCCAGCCTCCTGCCACCATCATTCAGCAGCTACCTCAACAGCCACTCATTGCACAGATTTCCCCTCCCCAGGCCTTCACAGCTCAAAGGTCAGGAAGCATTAAGGAAGGTAAGTGTTCGATATTAATGTTGTTATGGGCTTATGAAATTCTCTACTGAAAGAAAAAATATTTTGTAAGTAGTATAGTCCTTTAGGGTCAGCTTCTGGCTACTCAACTGAAGTTACCTGTTACCAACATGAAAATGTCTTCAACTTGAGAAGTGCTTTCATGATGGATATTGCTGAGGGAAGAAAAGAGGTAAAAGAAAGATTTGACTAGGAACTGAAAGAATTCTGGGCTCGCCCTGGCCGGTTTGGCTCAGCGGTTGGAGTGTTGGCCTGTGGACCAGAGAGTCTTGGATTCAGTTCCGGCTAGGGGCATGTACCAAAAAAAAAAGAATACTGGGCTCCAACTCCAATTCATCCAATTATTAGCCCTACAAAAACCTTGGTTAAATTGTTTCTTCTTTTTAAATAATTTTTATTATTTTTTAATTTATTTATTTTTATCCTCACCCGAGGACATTTTTCCATTTTTTATTCAGGTAGAGTGGGAGGGAGAGAGAGGAACAGAGTGAGAGAGAAACATTGACGTGAAAGGGACACATGGAGTGGCTGCCACCTGCACAACCAACCAGGGCTGGGGACAAACCGCAACCGAGGCAGCAGGAACCGAATCCGGGTCTCTCAGGACCACAGGCTGATGCTTTAACCGCTGAGCCAAACTGGTCAGGGCTAAATAACTTTTAAATACTTGATTTTTAAAACAGCTTTATTGAGATGACATAGAATAAATGGCACATATTTAAAGTGTACAATTTGATAAGTTTTAGCCCAGCCAGTGTAGCTCAGTGGATTGAGTGTCATCCCATGGACTGAGAGGTCCTGGTTAGATTCCCAGTCAGGGCATATGCCCAGGTTGCGGGCTTGATCCCCGGTAGGGGGCGTGCAGGAGGCAGCCTATCGATGTTTCTCTCTCACATCGATGTTTCTATCACTCTCTTCCTTCCTCTCTCTCTAAAAAGTCAATACAAATGTATTTAAAAAAACAATTTGGTAAGTTTTGACATATGGATATACCCATGAGCCCAAGACAATAAATCAAGACAATGAACACACCCACCATCCCAAAAGCTTCCTCATATCCCGTCTCACTCCCTCTTTCCAGCCCCACAGGCAATTGCTGATCAACTTTGTCACTGTTAATTTGCATTTTCTAGAGTTTTATGTACACAGAGTCAGAGAGGATGCACTGTTTTGTTTTGCTTCTTTCCCTCAGCATAATTGTTTTGAGTCATGACTAGCTGGGTTCCTCGTCACTGCTGAGGGGCTGCACCCATTTCTTTATCCTTTCCCCTGTTGATGGACATTTGGGTTGCGAGTCATGGACATCATGCCTGAGTCTCCTGTGAACATGTTTCCATTTCTCTTTGGTAAATATCTAGAACTGGAATGTCTGAATCATGTGGCAGGTGTGTTTAACTTTTCAAAAACTGCCAAACTGTGTCCATAATGTCTGTACCTTTTACATCTCCACAAGCCATGTATAAGGTTCCCGTTCCTCCACACCCTCGTATGGCATGGTCAGGCTTTTTAGTCTCAGCCATTTTAATAGTGGTAGTGGTAGTTCACTGTCATTGTAATTTGCATTTTTTTGATGACTGACAGTGTTGGCAGTCCAGGGGCAGACGGCGATGTTTCTCTCTCTCCCTCTCCTTCCCTCCCACTCTATCTGAAGATAAATGAAAAAATATCCTCGGGTGAGGATTTAAAAAAAAAAGAATGCCAACTGAATCAAATATTTGAATGTGAAAATATGAAATTTCAAAAGTACTCTAGCAACCACTTTAGAGAACTGTTGGGCTATTTGGTATAAAGTTAAACACACTCCCTGGCTGGTTTGGCTCAGCGGTTAGAGTGTCGGCCTGCAGACCAGAGAGTCCCAGGTTCGGTTCCCACTAGCAGCATGTACCCAAAAAAAAAAAAGTTAAATACACAATCTTGAGCCACTGGCTCCCCCAATAGCAAAAGGAATCTGGAACATTGTAGCTGCCTCTTCCTCTCCTGACTTCCCCGTGGCTGCTCTCCATTACAGTTCTACCTGTTGAAAAAGCTTCACAGAAATACACACCAGTATAATTTCATACAGAAAACAGTTTGAATTCACCTCACATCTATACTCTTTATTGTATCTCAGATCATCCTTCTGGAATCACCTTCTATCATCTTGAAATGCATCTTTTACAAGTTTCTTCAGAACAGGCTATTGAAGCTCCCTCAATATTGACCTTCCAAGTGTTTAAATTTCTTTTTGTTCTTAAACACTAGTTTTGCTGGATATTCAAATCTAGATGGATAGTTCTCTCAACAGGTTCTAAGAACCCTTGTGATCACACTGGGCCCACCCAGATAATCCCAGAAAATCTTGCCACTTCAAGATCCCTTTTAAAAAATTAATTAATTTTGCCCTGCCGGTGTGGCTCAGTTGGTTGTGCGTTGTCCCATATACTGAAAGGTCGCCAGTTTGATTCCTGGTCAGGGCACATGCCAAGGCTCCATGTCCAGAGGGAATAAGCGGGTGCAAGAGGCAGCCAATGTACGTCAATGTTTCTCTCTCTCCCCCCACCCCTTCCTTCTTCTCTCTCTAAAAATCAATAGTAAATAGGGTATCTTTAAAGCTTTAAAAAATATTAATTTAAAAAATTGTGATAAAAAACACAAACAGCCCTGGCCAGTTTGGCTCAGCGGTTAGAGCGTCGGCCTGTGGTCCGGAGAGACCCGGGTTCGGTTCCCGCTAAGGGCACGTACTTCGGTTGCAGTTTGTCCCCGGCTCTGGTTGGTCGTGCGGGTGGCAGCCACTCGATGTGTCCCTTTCACGTCGATGTTTCTCTCTCTCTCTCTTCCTCTCTCTCCCTCCCACTCTATCTGTACAAAAGATGGAAAAATGTCCTCGGGTGAGGATTAAAAAAAAAAAAAAAAACACAAACAAAAAATTTACCATTGTAACCACTTTAAGTGGTGTTAACGATATTTGTTAAGAAACAAACGTTTCGTGCTTTCTCATTTTCCCTAACTAAAACTGTCCCCATTCAACACTGACTCCCATTCCTTTCCTCCAGTTTCTGGCACCCACCATCCACTTTCTGTGTCTATGAATCTGACTCCTCTTGTAAGGGGAATCACACAGCATTTGTACTTTTGTGGCTGGCTTATTTCACTGGCATAATGTCCTCAAGGTTCATCCATATTGTAGTGTGTGACAGAATCACCTTCCTTTTTAAGGCAGAATAATCTTCCACTGTACGTGTAGACCACATTTTGCTCATCCCTTCATTCATCCATGGACACTTGGGTTGCTTCCACCCCCTCTCAAGATTATTAAGTTAATCACATCTGCAAGGTCCCTTTTTCCCTGTAATGAAACACAATCAGCCCGGCCAATGTGGCTCAGTGGTTGAACATTGACCCATGCACCAAGAGGTCGCCGGTTTGATTCCTGGTGAGGGCACATGCAGGAGGCAACCGATCAGTGTTCTCTCTCATTGATGTTTCTTTTATTTTTTTTATCCTCACCCGAGGACATTTTTTGATATTTTGTTCAGATAGAATGGGAGGGGGAGAGAGAGAGAGAAACATCGACGTGAAAGGGACACACTGAGTGGTTGCCACCCACACAACCCAACCAGGGCTGGGGACAAATTGCAACTGAGGTACGTGCCCTTAGCGGGAACCGAACCCAGATCTCTCCGGACCGCAGGCCGACACTCCAACTGCTGAGCCAAACCAGCCAGGGCTCTCTCATCAATGTTTCTCTCTCTCTCTCCCCTTCCCTTCCTCTTTCTCTCTAAAATCAATAAAGAAAGAAAATTTAAGAAAACAACAAAACAAAACACAATCACAGGTTTTGAGGATTAGGATGTGGATGTCACTAGGGCCATTCTTCAGCCCACTGCACTAATCGATCACATCATCTCACAAACTGAGGGTGCATTCTTTTTGGGATTGGGTGTTCCAGTTCTTTCCTATGGGGAGCTACTACAGCAGTGCTGCTTTGGACGTTGCTGTCTTCTGGTGAAGGGACATGCACATGGGGCATGTGCTAGGGAATGAGACGGCCCGTCAGGAAACACTGCCAGAATGTCTTCCTGGGTGGGAATTCCCATTTACATGTCACAGAAGGGAAGGAGAGTTTCAGTTGCCCACAGTAATTAACCAACACTCTGTTTTCAGATTTTTTTCCCATTTAGGCTAATCTGGTGGGCATGTGTAGTAGCTCATTCTGGGTTTAATTTGTTTCATCTTTTTATATATTTATTGGCCATTTGAATATCCTTTGTGTAAAGTGTCCATTTAAGTATTTTGCCCATTTTTCTTTCATGTTGTATTTCTCTCATTGATTTATGGGAACTCCTTATATTCTACAATGGGTCCTTTTTTGATACATGTATTACAAATATTAAGTTTTTGTGGCCTGCCCTTTAACTCATGTCTTTGTATGAACAGAAGTTCTTAATTTTTTTTTTCAGTGTAAAATTTTTATGTTTAGAATTAGCCAGCTGGACTGTTTAGATGATCCCAACTTTGTTGGCAACATCCAAAGCATCCTAGTCAGGAGCCAGTCGAACATACGCCTTCTTCTCTCCATCAGGCCTGATCAGGGTGTTGACCTTGGCCATGTCAATGTCATAGAGCTTCTTCACAGCCTCTTTGATCTGGTGTTGGTTGGCCTTGACATCCACAATGAACACAAGTGTACTATTGTCTTTTATCTTCTTCATAGCTGACTCGGTAGTCAGGGGGAATTTGATGATGGCATAGTGGTCAAGTTTGTTTCTCCTGGGTGCGCTCTTCCAAGGATATTTAGGCTGCCTTCAGAGCCTCAGTGTCTTAGGCTGACGGAAGGTGGGTGACATGCGGATCCTCTACGCTGCTTTGTTTGCCTTCAAAGGCTTTGCTTTGGCTTCGGCTTTAGGAGGGGCAGGGGCTTTCTTCTTTGCCTTTGGCGCCATCTTTGTAAAAAGGCAGAAGTTCTTAATTTTAGTAACAGTTTTTCAGGCTTTTCCCTATATAGTTAGTGCCTTGGGTGTCCTGTTTAAGAAGTCTTTACCTGCTCAAGGTCATGTGGTCTCACATGGCTTTGTTTACATTTGACATTCAGATTTACGATCCATCTGAAGTAGATGTGTGTGTGCTGTGAGTTAGGGATCAATGTTCTTTTTTTTTGCCATGGACATCAGTTTGACCCTGTGCCATGTACTGAAGACTCTCCCATGGTGTCCCTTTGTCATGAAGTGGCCCTTTATCGAACACAATGTGTCCATTTCTGTGCCCTCCTGCCTAATCTAATCAGTGGGAGTCCTGCAGGCCTGATGGGGGACTGTTCCTGTGGCTGCTGGTGGGTGGGGACGGCCCAGGCCCAGGCACACATGAGTTTCCTCAAAGGCCTTTCCTGGATGGGGCTGCCAGACTCAGCCTTTCCAACTGCTTCTCTTGCAGGGTCAGAGTTCCCACCGCTGTGCTGCTGCAGGAATCTGGCTCTGGGCTCTACCTCCCATAGTGCCCCAACCCTGTGGCAAAAATCTTAGTCAGTGCTCTCCAGAGAAACAGAACCAATAGGATGTGTATACAGACAGAAAGATGTGTTTGAAGGAATTGGCCTGTGCAATTATGAAAGCCTGGTTAGTCCAATATCTGCAGGGTGGGCTGGCCCACTGGGGATCCAGGGAGGGGTTTCTGTTTGAGTGGGGAGGCTATTGGCTGGAGTCCTGTGATTTGTTGGAGCCCCTGCCCCTGAGCGTCCAGGCTCCTATTTGTTTGCCTAGGAGTGTGCATGGTCCTAGGGGACCTGCCTTCCTTTGGAGAAGCTGACAGAGCCTGGAGAAAATGCCTACTTTCCAGGACCTAGATGCTGTGCAAGGAACCCATGTTCACCTCCCATGCTGACAAAATTTACATGTTTTATAGTATTCAGAGTTGGTGAATATATATACTGGAGCTGCCAAAACAAAGCACCACAGGGCAGGAGGCTTAAAACCTCAGAAATCCACTCTGTCACAGTCTGGAGGCCAGAGTCCAAAATCCAGGTGTTCCAGGGCCATACGACCTCCAGGGATGGTTCTTCCTGCTTCTTCCAAGCAGTGGCTCCAGGTGTCCTGGGCTGTGGCCGAACTGCTAGTCTCTGTGTCTGTCTCCCCTTTGGACTCCATCTCCCTCTGCCTGTCTCTGATAAAAATACTTGTCCTTGGATTCAGGGCCCATCTGGAAAAGCCAGGGTGATCACATCTCAAGGTCCTTCGTAACATCTGAAAAGACCCTTTTTCCAAGTAAGGCCATGTTCTAAGGTCTTGGGGTTAGGACATGGACACACATTTCACGGGCCACCATGCAGCCCAGGTAGACTTGAGGAATCTGCTAGCGGAAAGGCAAGTGGAGCTGCCTCCTGGGAGCCCAACTGGACACCATACACACACTTTATAGCATGCACACCCTATGTCCTGGAAGTTTCATGCCTGGGAATGTGACCCTGTCTGACCCCCCACCCCCACCCCACCACAAGGAACAGACACCTGTAATATCCTATATCTGTTTCAATAGGCTGCTCTAAAGCTCTGTTCTCAGGTCAGATCCCCTGATAGGGTGAGCCCTCTGTGTGTGACCAAGCCCCTCTCCCCCCTTTCAGACATGGTGGAGATGATGCTGCTGCAGAATGCACAGATGCACCAGGTCATCATGCAGAACCTGATGCTCCAAGCCGTGCCCCCAATGGCCCCTGGGTCCTCCAGGGGACTGCAGTCCACACCCCTGCACCCCATCCTGCAGGTAGGCTCAACCTGGAGCAGACACCAGGCAAAGGAGGCCACCCAAGTCAGCACCAGAGGACCTGGGCTACTTCTGTTCTGGAAATTGTGCATCTGTGTAACTCTGAAAAGCACAATTTTGGTTCTGGGGGTCTGTGATCTAGCTGTGAAATCCCCTAGCTCTTCCCTGTACCTCTCAGATGAGGAATGGGTTGTACAGTTTGAGGCTCAGAAAGCTGCCTCCTTGAGCTGAATGGGTCCCTCCTCTTCCTTCCTCTCCCCTCCCTTTCTGGGCTCTGAGCCCATCCTGAGTCAGGAATGGGAGTAGGAGTGGGGGCGGGGGAGTGGGGTTCCCAGAGCAGCTGGTCCCAGTTGAAATGAGCTAATGTTTGTGCTGTTGAGGACCCGCAGCGGGCTCACCAAACCATTCTGCGAGCAGAGAGGCAGAAGCCACCCTCTGTGCACCACCACCACCACTATGCACCCCCAGCCCCGCTGCAGGCTGGTTTTGCACCTGGTTCACCTGTGGCTTACTCTATGTGGCCCACGGTGGTCTCAGCCACTGCCCTCCCACCTGCCACCAACTTCCAACCCACCATGCACCACTTGGTCGTCCCCTCTGCTGCTGCTGCTGCTCTTAACACGTAAGGACCCTGGGGCCCCATTGCCCTTCCCTACCCCTACTGAGAAACCAATGGGCTTAAGTCTTTGCCAGGTCCCTAGGCTGCAGCAGGGAACTGGAAAGGAGCCTGGAAAGGCCCTGTCATCTCCCAGAGGGACACAGGTGTCCTTGGCAGCCTCACCCCCCCCATCCTCATCACCACGGCTAAGTGTGGACCCCATGGCAACCTCCCGGGAAAACTGTCTGCAGTTTGGGTCAAACTGTCAGTGCAGATAACCCTGGGTGTGTCCAGTCAAAGCACGGCTTCCAGGGCCCCCACCTGATCCCCAGAGTAGAGCTCACCTGCCCCGTGGCATCTTCCAGCCCTATGGGGCAGTAAGGACACCCAGACTCTTGCCTTTCCTCTAGGGCTTTGCCTGAAGGTTTCCTGCCTGCACCGGCTCCAGCTCCCGGCCAGTGAGCCCCAGGTCCCTCTCCCCACAGGGCGTGGTCTGAAAAACCAGGCAGAGCTGGACACCAGACTCCGAGGACCACAAGGAAACATGGGGATTTTGCCGGAAAAGATGCCCAGGAGCCACAGGAAGAAGATACATAGATTTAGCCACATAACAATCGAAGCCTTCCTATGGGAAAAATACCACAAATTTAAATACCTGGGAGATGTTTGCCCCACGGTGGCAGAGGTGAGGCAGGAAAGCAGCAGCTGCAGACTGTGCAGGGAAGAAGCCCTTGTTAACAGGTAGACACCTGCTGGCCTGGCTTTTCTCCTGCAAACGAACCCGAACCCGAGGAGCTGCACATGGCTCCTTCTGAGGGGCTGGGCCCTTGAAGGCAGCTTCTTGCTGACTAGACCCAAGGGTTCTCTCCTGTACTACATCCACCCAGGACTCAATTCTGGGACCCTCCACCGTGGGAAGGACAAGTCAGTAAAGTCTAGTAAAGACACCATGGTGTCAGAGCCTGAGTGCTGGTGTGAATTGTTAAGGCTGTCTTTGGTCTCTAAAAATCCTTTCTCTTTTTCTTTGCTTACATAAAAACAACTATATAGGTCTATTCTATACATTACAAAAGACAACTGTAACCCCCCCTCCCACACACACACACAGGCACTTTCTTCATGGTGATGGGGAAAGACTATTTTCTTTCCTTTTTTTTTTATCATAAAAGAATTAGAAAAGTAATCTCATAGAGGCTGCAGGGGAAGTCATGAGCTACCAGGGAAAGTAGGGTCAAGGGATGATGGGGCCGAGGATCACAGAAAGAGCTGAGGGCCTGAGGGGGATCACTGAGGGAGCAGAGGCACAGCAACCTGAGGGTGAGGGTGGAGGGACCAGGAGCACGGAGGTAGGTCCCAGGTAGGACCTGGGCACAGGTGGGAGCCCAGTAGGGAGCGACCTGGGAGGTTTTGGGACCTAGGCTGGGCTCAGTGTCCCCTGAGACGTGAAGCCCAAGGTGGGCAGGTTTCTGGAGCTGCCACCTCTCTGGGAGGGACTGCTCAGGGCCCAAGTCAGACCTAGGGCAACAGGATGGGGAGGCACCGGAGGGAGGGTCACCAGGCTGGAAGGGTGACGGGTAGGTTCTGAGCTGCCCGCCCTCCCTGGGTGTCTAGGGACAGGCTGCTGAGGCATGTCCCAGGTCCAGGTGCTTGGAGTGTGGTGGCTGGGGGCTTTACATGGCATGATATTGTGATTTAATAAATACATACTTGCTCTTCATCCTGGTTCCTGGCACAGTAAAGGAACGCTGTAATTCCTGGGTGTTGCGGTGAGAGGAGCATCTTCTATTAATCCCAATGAGCACCTTTCACCACATGTAAGATTACGCTAATGAGGTGACTTGGTTGGGCCCCTAGAAAGTTCCAGGGTGGGGGCTGGTTGCCAGGGAAACCAATCACTGTCAGGGGTGAGTTAATCACCATTGGTATTTAATCAATCATGCCTACTTACATAATGGAACCCCCATAAAACCCTCTAAAGATGGGGATGGTGAAGCACCTGGTAGGTTGGCATACCGCAAACTCCAAGAGCACAGAAGCTCCTGTGCTTAGGACTCTCCCAGACCTCAGCCAGTGGACCCTTCATCTGGCTGCTCATCTGTAGCCTTTATAATAACCAGGTGTTTCCTTTATAATAACCAGGTGTTTACCTGACTTCTGGAAGCCATTCTAGCAAAGTACTGAACTGGAGGAGGAGGTTGTGGGAACCCCGATTTGTAGCAAAGTTGGACAGAAGTGTGGGTACTCTGGTATGAAATGAGGGACAGTCTTATGGCACTGAGCCCTTAACTTGTGGGTTCTGCGCTAACTCTTGTTGTGAGTGGAATTTTCTTTGAATGGCTGAGCGCCATAGCGCCCTGGTGAGGTCGTGCTGGTGGGGCTCCTACACTGTGCCCACCTGTGCTGAGATGACAGTCATTCAAAGTTGGTGAAGATCAGTGAATGAAGCTAGAGACACTGAATAGGGGCTGGAGCCTGGGCACCCTCAGCTATCTATGCTTCTACTATAACCTAATTAAGACTCCAGGTACTCAGGGGCTGGGTGTGGATTCACAGAGGACAGTATGAGGGACCCGAGCACCTCCTGGAGCAGGAGGAGGGATGCTCCAGAACCAGGACAACAAGGGCACAAGTGACCAGTAGAATGACACAGAGAACCAAGACAGTTCCATGGGTAGGTGGCAGATGACAGCTGCTGACTGGGCAGTGAGTGGAGTGGCTTTCTTTTGGATTAAGGTCAGAAGGACACTTGACCACATTCTCTATTTTCAGTGATATATAAAAACCTCTGAATCAATTGGGAAAAAGAAAAACCAACATGAAAATAAGCATAGACATGAGCAATCACCTTAAGGCAAAGTGGACGCGCCAATGAAGAGGATCACTGGGAGAAATGCAGGGCAGCTCGAGGGCATGAGGGACACCTGTCCAAGTGGAGGGGTTAGGGTACACACAGGCCAGGGTCTGGACCCTGGGGTCACGCTAAGGGCTGAGGGGGAAGAAGTAATCTGGTCCTGGTAAAGCTGGACCTCCCATCCCCTGCCCCAGCACCACACCGGTGCCCTGGACATGCCAAGACCAGCAGGTCTCAGGACCCCTTCAGTCTCTTAAAAAGGACTTTGGAGCCAAGAGCTTGGTGGATCTCTGCATTGACTTTAAACTGAGAACAAGCTTAACTGACCACAAGCAGGCCATGCGCAGCCAGCAGTCACTCAGGAATATCACAGGTCAAGTCCCTGTTCTTGAGAGCTGGGAGAAGTGCAGACTGAGACTGGACACAAACCCAGTGGGAAATGTGTTCTCATGTTTCTAAAGTAGAGTCATAGGGGAAACCAAATCCTCAGAATTGTAGTATCCTTGGTTTTAGGGCCAAAAAGGATCTGAGAGACTGTGTTATTGCCATGACCTCTTTGGAGCTCCTTCTGTTGTGGTCAGCACCTGTACCTGACAGGTGATGGAGGCCCCGGCTGGCTTGGTGCCTGTCCCCTCCACCATCTGCTCCCACATGTATGTCCCCAGGCCCCTTGTTTCATCCTCCTGAGTGGCTGCAGAGGTGGTAGAGAGAAAGGCCTCATCACCAAAGGCAGAACCCCAGGAAGCGGAAGTTAGATGCTCTAAAAGTTTAGAACTATTTTATTTACAATATTGAAAATAACATGTCTGCTGTGTTCTAAGTAAAGACATGAATGAAAATTTCTCTTGTACTTTAAGAAACAGTCAGTTCCACTTATGGAATTTAGCCCCAGCTTGGGCTCTGACCAGCAGGGCCCTCAGTTTGGCGAAGCCTCTGATCCTTGGGACCCAAAGGGAGGGGTCAACTCCCATCCACAATGTCCCTGTGTTCTGGAGGGTTCCTCAGGTACTACCTGCATCACGGGCTGTGATTATCAGAAGAGGTTCCTGCTCAGGGGATGGAGTCTGGCCCCAGTGCGCCGGCCCAGCTCCTCGAGAACCTGCTTCTCCTTCTGGTACATCTGAAACAAAGGAACGAAAACCAACTGTGGACTTACCTAGCTGGCCTGGCCTCCTCAGGTCCTGGGGAGTCCCTGGCTTGGCTCAGGGGTCCCCACCTTGTGAAAGCTCTCCCTGAGGTCCATTTCCACGGCTATGGCATGGGGAGCCTTGGCCATGGGGCCCCTCATACAAGTTGAAGGGCAGGTCCTGGTTCTACTCACAGGTACCCAGCATCTGTGCAGAGGGAGCTAAAGTGCTGCCTGCAGGGTGAACTATGGAGGCAGCAGGAGAGGCTGTGGGCAGGGGGTGAGGTGGTGATCGTGGGTAGGAAAAAGGAGAGCCTGCCTGGGGTCACAGAACAGGTGCAGGACACATGGGAGGGAGGGGGTGCAGGTGGCCCTTCCTGGGGAAGGGTGGTCAGGGTTTGGAGGGCTGGGGTTCCTGGTGGACTGCACACTGGAGGTGACATCTTGGGCTTTCCCCAAGATGCTGAGACAGGTCTGTTGGTTGTAGAGACAGGGAGCTGAGGAGGAAGGGGCCAAGGGGTCACAGTAGGGTTAGTATTTGACCAGGAGGGGAGGTGCCAGATGTGGCTGGTGTGGACCCAGCCTAGGACGGCTCAGGGAGAGGACAAGTGCATCAAGGACTTCTTGTTAATGAAAAAAATTTTAGGCCTTTCAGAGAATCTGATTATTCAATTACAATATAGTTTGAGTTTATTAAATACATTATGGTATATATACCAACATGGACCTTTATAAGTGGGTAAACATTGGCACCTTTCAAGGAAACCAACTGCTCCATAACTTTACGCAATAGGTCTCTATCAGAGGCCTGCACATTTTAAATCCTGTTCCTAATTGATAAATATCATCACAATTTCTTTTTAAAGATTTTTTTAACTGCCCAGCTGATGTGGCTCAGTGGATTGAGTGTTGTCCATGGACTGAGTAGTCCCAGTTCGGTTCGGTTCCACATCAGGACATGTGCCTGGGTTTTGGGCTTGATCCCGGGGGTTAGGGAAGCAGCCGATCAATGTTTCTCTCACATCAATGTTTCTGTCTCTCTCTCCCTTCCTTTCTCTCTAAAAAACAAAACCAATAAAAACATATTTAAAAAATATATATATATTTTTACTTTAAGCCATTAGAATTTCTAGAATTCAGTCTCTCTGCTCAGACTTTCCTTTCAATAATGCTTAATAATACAGTTAACAGCATTTAGGAAGCCCAATATATATTTTTAAATCCACACCTGAGGATATTTTTCCATTTATTTTCAGACACAGAGAAAGGGAGAGAGAGAGAGAAAGAGAGAAAGAAACATCAGTGTGAGAGAGACACATCGATTGGTTGTCTTCCGCATGACCCTGACCAGGGCTGGGGACTAAACTGCAACCGAGGTACGTGCCTGTAACCGGAATCGAACCCTTGACTCTTTGGTCCATGGGTCGATGCTCTAACTGCTGAGCCAAACTGGCCAGCGCATGGGAGCCCAATATTTAAAACAAACACTGTAAATCTTTTTTTTATAAAGTAAGCATTTATAAAATTCCTTATTTTACTGTTTTCTCCCAATTTTGGTTTTCAAGACTACAAGGGCGGGTCAGGCAGCCCTGCCTTAAGGGGGGTACCTACCTGCTGCCACGTGGCCTCTGTGCTATGTGTGAAGCCCAGCAGATGACAGAGCCCATGGGTGGCCGTTACCTGTTGGAACAATTTAAAAGCTGCCTCAGGGGCTGATCATGACCAAGCCCAGAGCTAGGGGAGGAGGAAGGCAGGGAGTGCTCATCCCACACCTGGTGAGAAGTAAAGAACCCTCCTCTGGGCCCAGGTAGGGCTTTGGGAGTCTGTGGCAGCAGCATCAAGGGTGTGAGTGGGCAATGAAGACATGGGTGGGGTTTGGGGAACAGCAGGTAGACCAGAGCCCTGTCAGGGGTGTGAAAACCAGAATCTCAGGGTTTCCAAAATGACGGCAGAGTGAATGGAAGCTAAACAAACCATCTCCCAGGATCAAACTGGACTTACAACTAAAATAAAGACAATCATCGGGAAAAAGCAACAGAAAAGCAGCTTGCGAGGACCATATAACCAGGAATCAGAAAGAATATATGTACCCCCATGTTCATAGCAACACTATTTACAATAGCTAAGATCCAAGTGTCCATCAGTAAACGAATGGATAACAAAGCTGTGGTACATATATACAATGGAGTACTATGCAGCTGTAAGAAAGATCTCTTATCCTTTGAGACTACATGGAGGGACCTAGAAAGTATTATCCTAAGTGAAACAAGCCAAGCAGAAAAAGACAAAAACCACATGATCTCACTTATATGTGGAATATAATGAACATATCAGTCTGAGGAATAGGGTAGACCCAGAGACGTGGAAGTAGGGTACAGACTGACAACCCTCAGAAGAAGTGGTGGTGGGGGGAGGAAAGAGATAAACCACAGAACTTATATGTATGTATGCATGACCAATGGACATGAACAACAAAGCTGGGGACGGAGTGGGTGGGAGGGGAGGAGGGTGTCAATGGGGTAAAAAAGGAGAAACATCTGTAACAAAAATACAATAAAAATAAATAAAAGAAAAAGAAAAAAAAAAGAAAACCAGGATCTCTGGGGTAAGGTGGGGAGGGTCAGTGGTTATTTACTGAGGAGACACGTGCTTTTCAGGGCAGAGGGAAGGGCGAGAGGGGTGGTGAGATGCAGAGGATGATGGTAGTTGGAGGGTACCCAGGGCTGTTAGATGGTGCTTACGTGCAGCTGGGAGCCAGTAGGATGCAGAGTGGCCTGGTCTGGCCTTGTGCCAGGGGATGAGGGTCCTAGGAGTGGTGGGCTGTTCCTCTACTTTGGTACAGAGTCCTCAGTGGCGGGGAAGTGAAAGCAGATGTCTACAACTGCCCCCTGGATCACCTCCCAGGGGTGCATAGCTGCTGGCCACAGCGATCCCAGAGCTGGACCATGTTGACCAGTCCTGTCTACACTGGGTTCCCTGTTACTTAGGAAGAAAGGAAAACCTCCTCCTTCTCCCTCCACACCTGCTCACACTGGGTATCACATGGAAGTACTAACACCCACCCCTCAACATATTTCAGGGTGCATCTATTTGGCCAAAGGAAGACTCCGAAATTGAATCCTTGGGGTAGTTGAAATACGGCTCTATCACACTCAATACTTTCAGAACACAGTCTCCCCTTCCTTTTTAAAATATTAAGCCAAGGACAGATCTGCAAGGTCCTGGATGCTAGAATCTTGTTCACTTTGGGCAGTTTCCTAAGAAGCTTATTCAGCAAGCCTAATTACACAGCCTGCTGAGCTCAAGGTAAAAGCTAAAGCAAGGTCACTACTGGGAGCTTCCCTTATCTCATAGCTCAGTTATGGAGAAGTTCCCTGTCCTCTCCCCACTCCTAGCACTGCCACAGGGCATGCAGATTCCACTAGGCCATCTCCCTCTCTGTGGATATCCCTTTCTGTGGGTCTCCCTCAAAATCCTTGTTCTTCATGTGGGCAATAATGTGGGCAATAGTGTGGACACAGGTGGCGCATCACCAACCTCTTTATGGTCTGGATGAAGGACATGGTATTTATTTCACTAGGCAGAACTTGTTATTTCAGCATTTCCACTTACAGTCAGGATATCATAGTAATCTTCATTTTCTTTGCACTGCTGGAAGATATACTCCACTCCTAGAAAAATGTCCCCCAGATTATAGTCATCTGGAAAATCAGGCTGGGGAATTTCACCTGCTTTCAGATTCTGCAAACGAGGAAATAGATTGTGAGAACAGGGCCACAGGAACACGAACCTGACTACAGATTCCATTCTGGAAAACACTGTCCTCTCACTAGTCTTAAGCTCGGGCAGGGGACCGAAAAGCCACTACACACAAGTGACTTAAGATGTTTCCACTTTGTCAAATAAATTACTTTCCATTTCTTTCATCCTTCCCAATGCACAATCACACATATTACAACTTCTAGGAGTTAAATCACCACATTGATATAATTTTATTTTCTGTTCTTTCCTCTTGGTAGTTTGTCCTAAACAGCCTTTCACATTCTCCCACAAAGACCAGTCCATTCAGTTGAGTTCTGTGCACACTAAGCCAGACTCCTACTGCTGCATATTTATTTAGTATTGTTGATGTTTTTTCTTCCCATTAAGGAAAATAAGTGAACATTTTAATGCATTTTTACATTACACATTTAACATTTTATCATCCTCCTTCCTCTGATTTATTTTTGTGGTTGTGATATTAGTGGATTGAAGTATGTTGCCAAGCTGCTTCCCAATTTATGCTGCTCCTAACCCATGTGTGAAGCTCTGAATGAGTCATTTACATAACTGAGAATAACCTCACAGCTATCATAAGTTTGTAGAAAATATTTACATGTCTCTTCTTTTATTCAGCGTTATTTAAATTTTTCAACCATACATATTCATTATTGATTCATATGCAAAACTACTACGTAATTCACTGATCACATTAGGTGGCCATTAATCAATAGGGTTGGTCTCTACTTTTGTGTATATTAGAAAGTTTTCAAAATAAAACTAAAGTCTGGCCAGCCTATGTGGTTCAGTGGTTAGGCATCAACCCCTGCACCAAGAGGTCACCAGTTTGATTCCCGTTCAGGGCACATGCCCAGGGTGTTGGCCAAATCCCCAGTGTGGGGCATGCAAGAGGCAGTTAACTGATGTTCTCTCTCTTCGATGTTTCTCTCTCTCCCTTTCACTTCCTCTCTCTCTAAAATCAATAAAGGGAAAAAAATTAAAAATAAAATAAAATAAAAAAATCATGTCTGTTGTATAATTAACACAGGAAATTTACATTGGATGGTAGGCTAGAAAAGGCAAGGAGGAAAATATTTTGTACCTCATGAAATGGAAAAGAAAGCACATCAGTTGGGATATTTTTCTGTCTGTAGATCTTGTTGATGTGCTGAATACTCTTGTTGTCAACACAGATGATCCCTAAGTCGAATTTCTGGACCCCTAAAATACTCCTGACTGCCTCCATCCTCTGGCGGAGCGGCACTCTCCGAAGGGGGATAACTCGCTGCAGGTTTCTGAGCACCAGACTCATTTCAGGAAGACAACCGGGGCACTTTTAAAAAAAAGTTTGTAAAGGAATCAGTACTTAAAATTGAAGAGAAGACAAGTCAGTCCTAGAAAATGAAACACACGCACAATCAAGTCATTTTATTTGGTGCAATTCATTGAAAAAAGTTACAGGAACTTACATGTTATCATAAGGAAGATATAAAAATGAAGGTATATGAAACGAAGCCATAGAGTCAGGCAAGCCAGAATGGAAGAGTAGCCAGAGGAAATTAAAGCTGGTGGCGAGGAAGGGCCGTTAGCAGTGAAGGGGAGTGAGCGGGGTAGGGGACAGAGGAGGTGGTGGAGGAGGGGTAGGTGAGGGATAGGGGATGCGGACGGGGCGCGTCAGGCTGGGTGCAGGGCTTCCTCAGGGAGCGCTCAACGCTGGCCCCGGACAGTACGCGGGTTGGCTGTCGTCCCCCCACAATCGGAGAAAAAAAACCACTCGCGTACCTATGGGGCCGAAGCCGGCGGGCTCCACCCTCCACCCTGTGCACCGGAAGCCCTACAGCCGCCGCTCGACCGGAGATCGGAACCCAAGCGCGGAGGGCCGCGGGCGGGGCCGGGCAGCGCAGGTAGGACCGGAAGTCGGTCCAGCACCTTTTTGTTCCGCGGCGCGCAGGGAAGTGCTGGGTCCGGCGGTCTTGGTCCGTGTCTGCACCTCTGACCAGGCGCCGAGGTACCCCAGAGCGGCGTTGTCCCTGAGATAGACGGTGAGCGCTTTGCGGGGTCCGGGCCGGGCGGAGGCTGCCCCTTCTGTCTCGCTGCTTCCCGCCCCCCCCTTCCCCCGCTAGCGCGTCTCCAACGGGACGGAACAGCGGAGAGCCGGGCCCAGGGCGCGGCCTGTGCTGGGACCTATGGCGATGCCTGCTAGATGCGGTCCGCTGCAGCCCCTCCGGGGTCTAGGGCGGCCTCTCCACGTGAGTATGCTTGTCCTCTAAGCTAGTTCGTTCAGGCAGTAGCCCCGGTATAAAAACACATTATTTCTGTGCCTGGAAAGAGTGTTTAGTGCTGTGGTTACTCGGAGAAAAATTAGGTGGGAGGAACTGGAACACTGATGTTTTAACTGTTACAGTGTAAGCATCTGGCTGTGGAGATTGGAAGAAGTCAGGAGAAACTCCTCTGTTTAACTTAAAAAGTGTTACGGCATTCATTTTTTAAATTAACATTTGAAGTTTGCCCTGACTTTACCAATTTAGTAAAATGATTTGACTTTTAGCCACGCTTTATTGTTTATTTTTTGACCCCGTAATTTTACTTCTCAAAATGTACATTTTCACATAAGATAACGGTCAAGGAGATTCACTTCAACACTCTTTAAAACACTTTAAAGCAGAGAACAATCTGTGTGACCATTAATAAGGACGGGTTGAATAAATTATGATATAGTCATTCAATAAGAAACTCTGCAGCATTGAAAAAGTATGAAGTAGAGCTCAGAGTCCCAAGATATATTAAGGTGAACAAAAATTGAAGAACGGGATATATATTTGTCTTTAAGAAAAAAGATAGAGTGTGGAGATATACTTGAATATGCATATGTTTTCTTTAATGCTCCAACTCCTGGGACTGTGAGTGATGTCCACAATGTCCTGTCCTCACTGCCCTTTTCAGCTCCTATTGACTCATGCCTATGGCTTCTTTTATGGAATCAATTCATCTCATGTTTGATCTTCTCTTTTCCTGCTGCCTCCTATTTTTCCTAACATTACTGTCTTTTCCAAAGTATCTTGACTTCTAGTCATGCTTGAAATCTCTGTAACAAAGTATCACTCTCCACCCCATACTCCAAAAAAAAAAAAAAAAAACCCACTGGCTCTCAGAAAATAAGGAAACTTGGCCCTTTGCTTTGTCCCCCTATTAAATAATTTAAAGTGTGACGTGTGATTAAAAATTATTTTCTTAGTCTTCTAGCAGCACATAGCTCTGATGATCTGAATTTTTGTCTTTCAGCTTACATGAAATGAAGGGGAACTCCCTAGTTTAACAGACTGTTTAAGGAAGAGGACTGCTTTATACACGGAGTATTTATTACCTTCAAATAACTGGGTCAGAAGATGAACCCAAATAATCCTTTCAGTGGGCAGCAGCCTAGTGCTTTTTCAGCATCCAGTAGTTCCATAGGAACAGTTCAGGCTAAGCCACAGTTTCGATTTGGTCAGCCTTCTCTTTTTGGACAAAATAATACAGTATCTGGGAAAAGCTCAGGATTTTCACAGGTATCTAGCTTTCCAGCACCTTCTGGAGTAGCTCATTCTTCTTCAGCACAACCATTGGGACTCTCCCAAACCTCAAATGTTGGACTCTTTCCTGGACTTGAACACACTCCAGCCTTTGTAGCTACTTCTGGGCCTTCAAGTTCATGTGTGCCTGGAAACCCAAGATTTACTTTTAAATCACCCAACTTTGGGGCTTTCCCAAGTACTTCTGCTTTTGGACCAGAAACTGGAGAAGTAGCAAGCTCTGGTTTTGGGAAATCAGAATTTAGCTTTAAACCTCTGGAAAATTCATTGTTCAGACCAATATTGGGGTCTGAATCTGAGCCAGAGAAAACTCAAAGCCAAATTACTTCTGGATTTTTCACATTTTCCCAACCAATTAGTAGTGGACCTGGGGGACTGGCCCCATTTTCTTTTACTCAGGTGACAAGTTCAGCTACTAAATCAAATTTTACCTTTTCGAAACCAGTTGATAGTAATAATTCATCATCACCCTTTACCCCTGCTTTGTCAAACCAAAATGTAGAGGAAGAGAAGAGAGGCCCTAAATCACTATTTGGAGGTCTTAATAGTAGCTTCACTAGCTTCTCCACATCTTCGGGGGCATTGGGGGAACCCTTCCCAGTCAGCAAAACAGGTGTCAGACAAGGATGTGAAGAAGCTGTTTCCCAAGTGGAGCCACTTTCCAGCCTCGTGAAAGGACTGAAAAGGAAAGAAGATCAAGACCGCTCCCCAAGGAGACATGGCCATGATACAATGGAAGACTTGGACCCTCTTTCAAGGGGTGATCATCCTCCCGATAAGCGACCTGTCCGCCTGAATCGGCCCCGGGGAGGCACTCTGTTTGGTCGGACAATACAGGATGTCTTCAAAAGCAATAAAGAAGTTGGTCGTCTGGGTAACAAGGAATGTAGAAAGGAAATTGGCTGTGCTGAGCCTGGGGAAAATGACCACATGGCCATCCCAGGAGGGAGTCAGTCTGTTCTAGCCCCTTCCCGACTTCCAGGTGTGAATAAAGAGGAAGAAACTGAAATTAGAGATAAAAAAGAAGGTGAGCTCTAAAAAGGTACAAAATACAGTATATCCTGCTGGCAAGTTCTTGGTAAATTTCCCTGGGGGTTAGCTTGATTTTTTTTTTGTTACTACATCTCCTGTAAACATTAGGGATATTAATGTACCATAGGATCTTGGAGCAGGTCTCACATCCATGGAAATTTCCTTTGCCCTTATGTAGTTGGTCCCTCTTGTTGTTTGAAAACATTACACCTACTATAGTTCTGTGCCTGTTCTCTGATCCTCTAGATTTTCTGAGAGGAACTCCTGGGCGTCAGAATAAAAGAAGTGATAGCACAGACAGTCTTGGGGGCTTCTCTCCTACTGAAGTCACAGCGATCCAGTGCAAGAACATTCCTGACTATCTCAACAACAGGACCATTCTGGAGAACCACTTTGGCAAAATTGCTAAAGTGCAGCGCATCTACACCAGGCGCAACAAAAAGCTCGCAGTGGTGTATTTCTTTGATCATGTGAGTACTCCCAAGTGACTTTATGTGAGTGAAAAAAATAGGTTTTAAAGTGAGAAAATGGGCATGAACTTTGTCACTTTGAGACCTATTTTTTAAAAATCTATCAGTTATTTGCTTGCTAGAATATAAGGAAGTACTAGAATATTTTGTTCTTATCTTGGAGAGGATAGAATAACACTGTTTATTTCATAACTGGAGTCATTAATGAAAAGCTTGCAGCCCCTACTGAATGCAGTGGTGAGTCCCATGAAGTCAGATTCTTCTGAAATGTATGGGAGTGGCTCTGTAACCATAGTACTTTTTCAAACTTGAGTTCTGTTCTGTTTTATTTGGTCATAGTACATGATCACTGTAAACATTTGAACAATACAGAATAATCCCTTTGTAATTCCATTCTCCAGAGATAACACTTTATGTTTGGTTTATACCCTAACTTTAAATATAGGATTGGGCAGAGGTAGGTTTACAGTTGATAGTATGGAAAAATAATACAATAATTAATAAGTAATAATACAAGAATAAACTTTTGCTCTGGCTGCTTTGGCTCAGTGGTTAGAGCGTCGGCCTGCGGACCAGAGAGTTCTGGGTTCGTTTTCCACTAAGGGCATGTACCTCGGTTGCAGTTTGTCCCCAGCCTGATTGGGGTCGTGTGGGTGGCAACCAGTCGATGTGTCTCTCTCATGTTGATGTTTCTCCCTCTCTTCCTCCCTCTATTTCTCCCTCTCTATTTGAAGATAAATGCAAAAAATAAAAATAAAAATGTCCTCAGGTGAGGATTTAAAAAAGAAGACATACCTCCTTTGCAATTTGTCCCCAGTCCTAGTCGGGGTTGTGTGGGAGGCAACCAGTCCATGTGTCCCTGTCATGTTGCTGTTTCTCTCTCTCCCTCTCCCCTACTCTACCTGAAGATAAATGGAAAAATATCCTCGGGTGAGGATTAAAAAAAAAAAGAAGAATAAATTGTTTCATTGACTCACAACTGTAAACCTTCTTTTGCCCCACCCTGTATGTGTGTGAGTACACCTATGCATAACACAGTTGTAGGGTGTTCACATACATGAACTGCTCACATTATTTAGCTTTATATCTTTAAAAAAATTTTTTTTTCCCTTTATTGATTTTAGAGAGAAAGAAAGGGAGAAGCAGAGAGAAATAGAAACTGATAAGAGAGAACATCGATTGGCCACCTCCTGCATGCCCCCCACTGGTGATCAGGCCCACAACCTGGGCATGTGCCCTGACTGGGAATATATCCGGTGACCTCTTGGTGCATGGGTCAACGCTCAGCCACTGAGCCACACCTGTGGGCGCTTTTTTTTTTTTTTTTTTTAAACTTATCTTTATTGTTGAATATATTACAGATGTCCCTCCTTTTCCCCTATTGACCCCATTCTCCCCGCTCCTACCCTCCTCCTGCCTTCCCCACCCTATTGTCTGTGTCCATTGGTTATGCGTATATGCATATAAGTTCTTTGGCTTATCTCCCCATCCCCCCACACCCTTGAAGTTTGTCAGTCCAACAACCAATTTGTACTTCTTAATTCCTTAACCTTTTTCACCTGTTCCCCCAAACCCCCTTCCATCTGGCAGCCAACAAAAGTTGTCTGTATCTATGAGTCTCTTTCTATTCTACTTGTTCATTTTGTTTGTAGATTCAATTGTTGATAGATATGTATTTATTACCATTTTATTGGTCATATTTTTTATCTTCTTTTTCTTCAAGAAGACCCTTCAACATTTCATGTAATACTGGTTTGGTGGTG